GTTAAGTTATACTACAATAACACAATACACATTATTTTACAAAAAAAAACTGTGGTACAACCACCACTTATTACACTAATACATTTATTAAACGAAACTTCATACCTACTCCCACGGAATCCGAACAGAAAGAGCGCGACGGAGAGTGTGGGAAAACCTTTCACAGCCCACAATGGTATGATCCACTAATTTATATTTTTAAACTCCAAACTCATACTAGAAATAATGATCCATGAACTAAATATGTTCAACAGTAACAATAATAATTCCCATTTCTATTTACAACACACAAAAGTTAAATAAAAATAATAATTTGGAGACAGGAAGTTACCCGCTGGATTACAATGGATCTGTCGTCCTTTCAAAATAAAGCTGCCGGTGCTCAGAATTTCCTATCGGAATACCTTCTCACTTAACAATCTAGTGTAATAACATCACACTGCTACACAAGACAAATTTTAAATGAAGATATTAACATGTTGGAATAAAGATTGGGCTTTTATGATGTAAAATGATTTCATTCTAAATGGAGGACATTTTCAGAAAGCAGCATTTGTGAATCAAACTTTGGATTAAATGTATGATAATTTAACTCTCCATCCCTGTTAGACCAAAATTTATCATATGGAAACGACAGATTTATTATACCTTTGAAAACTTTCTAAAAACATTCATAAAAAGTCACAATTTAAAAAATGTTAGCCTTAAAATTTCAGTCACAAAATGCAGGAATTGATATTTAACTTTTATCTGCATAAAACAGATGGTTTTATGGGTAAAAACCGTGTCTCTATTAGTCCAATAGACTGATAAATTGATTATTAGAACATTTGAATGAGTATTTTAATAAACTGATTGGAAATATGGCACAGTTAATAAATCAGTTTTCAAAAGTCCAGAGTGGAAATAAATAGTTTTGCTGAACGTGAGCGATGACTTTGAAAACAAATATCTCCAGCAGAAATATCCTGACCCTTGACCCCTGATGTGACTTTGAACCCACATTCATGGGGGGCTGAGCTTTGGACCGGGCCAGAATCTGCTGCTTGGTTCTGCTGTTTCTCCAACTTCCTGCTTCAGCCTCACCTGGACAGGAAACGTTTCCTCAGCCTGATGTCCATTGGACGGTTCCAGAATGACCGCCAGGAGGCGCTGCGGCGCCCGGATGATACTGATGATGATGATGGTGGTTCTGTTTGAAACAGAACTTAAAAACGTTTATTAATCCCTAAATATGACAAAATCTACCTGGATTATTTTTCACATTTCATCTGAAGGATTAATTCTCATATAAAATGTTTATTAGTTTATAAATGATTCTGGTTTCTGTTTTTCTGCTGAATTTGCAAAATGAATTTATTCCCTCAAGTCTTTACAGCAGGTGTGTCAAACTCATTTTCGTTTTGGCCCAATCAAGATCATGAAGGCTCTTAAAGGGCCGGTTGTACTAGAATGTGTTGATAAAGTCTGTTCACAAACCGTTAATATGTCAATGAATTCTTAAAATTACATAATATTATTGACGATCTTTTCAGTCCTTTCAGGAACTAATAATAAATGTGACTGTTTATTTACTCGCTGTATAAATCATGCACTATAATCATACATCAACTAAATTCTCAAGAAACTGGAGGGATTGATTGATACAAATTGGTAGTAAACAGATAAAAACTGCATTGATATGATTGATAATATAATATTTAATCACACTTAGTGTTTAGTCTAGTCTGTGGAGGGCCACATAAAAAGCTACGGCGGGCCGGATTTGGCCCCCGGGCCTTGAGTTTGACACATGTGCTTTATGAGCTGATAGTTCTGGGCGAACCCGTCCCATCATCAGAACCGGACGGACGGTTCGGTTCTAACTCAGCTCTTCGATCCGCTAACTGGATCAGAACCAGCCTCTCTGGTTCTGACTCCTGGTTCCGAGGATTCGGTTGAAAATCGGTTCTCCATGCCTACTTCAAGGACTGTAGGAAAACTGACCACAAAAACTTCCAGCTGAGCGGCTGTGATGCAGCGTAGCTCCGCCCCCTCCTGACTCGGCGCCACCGGAAGTTCTGAGCGTTTTGGTTCACATCACTTCCTGTGTCCATGTTGCACTTCATGATGCTTCTCTGCAGTGGATTGAAACGATTCCAGTTATTAAAATTGTAGTTTCCATTTTATTAAAGTCACTGAATATTGAAGTCTGAAGCCAAATACTGAGTTTGAATCCAGACATTGAAATAAATATGTGAAATACTCTTGGTTCTGGTTCTGTTGGTTCTGGTTCTGTTGGGTCTGGTTCTGTTGGTTCTGGTTCTATTGGGTCTGGTTCTGTTGGTTCTGGTTCTGTTGGTTCTGGTTCTGTTGGTTCTGGTTCTGTTGGTTCTGGTTCTGATGGGTCTGGTTCTGTTGGGTCTGGTTCTGTTGGTTCTGGTTCTGTTGGTTCTGGTTCTGTTGGTTCTGGTTCTGTTGAATTGATTCTTTCAGATTTTAGGATTTGAGTGATGAAGCTCCTTCGTCCTCCTCTTCCTCCCTTGCCAGCGGTTGCCATAACAACAGCCTCTCTCGCCCCAGAAACTGATGTCTTCCGGATGTCTTCCTGTCCCCTGATGTCTTCCGGATGTCTTCCTGTCCCCTGATGTCTTCCTGATGTCTTCCTGTCTCCTGATGTCTTCCTGTCTCTTGATGTCTTCCTGTCCCCTGATGTCTTCCTGTCTCTTGATGTCTTCCGGATGTCTTCCTGTCTTCCTGATGTCTTCCTGTCTCTTGATGTCTTCCTGTCTCTTCCTGTCTTCCTGATGTCTTCGGTCTCTTGATGTCTTCCTGTCTCCTGATGTCTTCCGGATGTCTTCCTGATGTCTTCCTGTCTCTTGATGTCTTCCTGTCTCTTCCTGTCTTCCTGATGTCTTCCTGTCCCCTGATGTCTTCCTGTCCCCTGATGTCTTCCTGTCTCTTGATGTCTTCCTGTCTTCCTGATGTCTTCCTGTCTCCTGATGTCTTCCTGATGTCTTCCGGATGTCTTCCTGTCTCTTGATGTCTTCCTGTCTCTTGATGTCTTCCTGATGTCTTTCTGTCTCTTGATGTCTTCCTGTCTCTTGATGTCTTCCTGATGTCTTCCTGTCTCTTGATGTCTTCCTGATGTCTTCCTGTCTTCCTGATGTCTTCCTGTCTCCTGATGTCTTGTCTTCCGGATGTCTTCCTGTCTCTTCCTGTCTTCCTGATGTCTTCCGGATGTCTTCCTGTCTCTTTCTGTCTTCCTGATGTCTTCCTGTCTCCTGATGTCTTCCGGATGTCTTCCTGTCTCTTCCTGTCTTCCTGATGTCTTCCGGATGTCTTCCTGTCTCTTCCTGTCTTCCTGATGTCTTCCTGTCTCTTGATGTCTTCCTGTCTTCCTGATGTCTTCCGGATGTTCCTGTCTCTTGATGTCTTCCTGATGTCTTCCTGTCTCTTGATGTCTTCCTGATGTCTTCCTGTCTCCTGATGTCTTCCGGATGTCTTCCTGTCTCTTCCTGTCTTCCTGATGTCTTCCGGATGTCTTCCTGTCTCTTCCTGTCTTCCTGATGTCTTCCTGATGTCTTCCTGTCTCTTGATGTCTTCCTGTCTTCCTGATGTCTTCCGGATGTCTTCCTGTCTCTTCCTGTCTTCCTGATGTCTTCCTGTCTCCTGATGTCTTCCTGTCTCTTGATGTCTTCCTGTCTTCCTGATGTCTTCCGGATGTCTTCCTGTCTCTTCCTGTCTTCCTGATGTCTTCCTGTCTCTTCCTGTCTTCCTGATGTCTTCCTGTCTCCTGATGTCTTCCTGATGTCTTCCTGATGTCTTCCTGTCTCCTGATGTCTTCCGGATGTCTTCCTGTCTTCCTGATGTCTTCCTGATGTCTTCCGGATGTCTTCCTGTCTCTTCCTGTCTTCCTGATGTCTTCCGGATGTCTTCCTGTCTCTTCCTGTCTTCCTGATGTCTTCCTGTCTCCTGATGTCTTCCTGATGTCTTCCGGATGTCTTCCTGTCTCTTCCTGTCTTCCTGATGTCTTCCTGTCTTCCTGATGTCTTCCTGTCTCCTGATGTCTTCCGGATGTCTTCCTGTCCCCTGATGTCTTCCTGATGTCTTCCTGTCCCCTGATGTCTTCCTGATGTCTTCCGGATGTCTTCCTGTCCCCTGATGTCTTCCTGTCTCTTGATGTCTTCCTGTCTCTTGATGTCTTCCTGTCTTCCTGATGTCTTCCTGATGTCTTTCTGTCTCTTGATGTCTTCCTGTCTCTTGATGTCTTCCTGATGTCTTCCTGTCTCTTGGTTCCGTCTGAGACAGAAACAAACCAGATCTCCGTTCAGAGCCTGAGGTTCTTTACTGAAACCGGAGAATCTGCAACGTTTGGAAAAAAAACTATAAACTGAGGTGAAGATCAGAGGTTTTGATTAGGACAGATGAAGCTGATTTCAAATATTTATCCAGAAAACATTTCAAACAGTTCTGTAAGTTTATGATGTAAATGTGTGATGGTTGTGTTGGCTAAACACCAGGAGCCATTTGTCCTACTAGCGCTAGGATAGCATGTTAGCTTTGGTTGTATTTACCCAGAATGCCCTGCGATGTAGTCCACTTCCTGCTTTTGGAGTCTCCGGTCCGCCGGACCCAGGTGGAGGTTTGGAGAACCAGAGTTAGATTAGCATTCACATGTCACCAACCGAACAGGACTTTGACTAGGCAAACGGACTGGAGTCGGCCGTAAGCTCCGCCTCCTTCCCACATTCTTCTCAGTTTGTTATCAACATCGGGTATGAATTTTATATGAGCAGGTTCATATTCAGAAACAAATGATTTCTCTGGCCTTTTTGTTCCCATGTGCTGACCAGCTGTCCTCTGATTGGATGGTTGAAACCATCAACTTCCAATCAGATTGAGGTCAATCTGATTGATTGTTTCATGTTATTCTCTTCAGATTTCTGTTATTATTGGACATTAATAATAACAATCTGAGCTGATAGAAAAGATGTTAATAAATGATTCGGTTTCTGATGAACGAGGCAGAAGGATTTATTCTCCTCAGACGTCATCAGAGTGAAGACATCAGCACCATTCACTCATTCATCCATCAGTTTAAGGCATGCAGAGACTCGGACAGCGTCGGTGATGGAGCTTCATGCTGGAACTGAAAGCAGAAGATTAAATACAAAAAGGATAGAAATACTGAAATACAGATTCAACTCAAACAGGATCGATTCAGCATCAATCGACAGAAATGAAAAGTCCTTCAGCAGGTTTGGACCTTTAGTTCAGATTCGAAACAGAACTTTTAGTTTCACTCAGCTCAGCATCGCCTGTCGGTTCATTTCAACCCCCCACATTTTTCCACTGGATTAGTTTGTTGTGGTTGGAGTCCATCAGGTTTCAGAACCAGGACTGACTGCAGAACTCTAACAGAGTCAGTCAGACTCTGGGCAAGTTACCAACCAATCAGAGCCAAAGCTTATTAGCAATGGCCTAGTTCAAGGCCAAACTGTTTTGAGACCTTACCAAATGATAACTGACAGACGGCAGGCTAGTTAAAAAGTTACAGAGAAATCCGACTCTTGGTTCCTAAAAGATTATCCTGGACTTTTCATTCCCCAGAAATAAAAACATCTAATGGAAGAAACTTTTCTGTTAAAATAAAAACAGTTTCTCTATTTACACATCTTGTGCCAGCAGATAGGAGGTGTTCATGTTACAGTCACAATGTTAGCTTAATGTTAGCACAATGTTAGCTTAATGTTAGCTTAATGTTAGCACAATGTTAGCTTAATGTTAGCTTAATGTTAGCACAATGTTAGCTTAATGTCAGCTTAATGTTAGCACAATGTTAGCTTCATGTTAGCTTAATGTTAGCACAATGTTAGCTTAATGTCAGCTTAATGTTAGCACAATGTTAGCTTCATGTTAGCTTAATGTTAGCCCAATGCTAGCTTAATGTCAGCTTAATGTTAGCTTAATGTTAGCACAAAGTTAGCATACAAGCAGCAAAGAGAAGCACAAGAGTTCCAACAGTCAGGTTCCAAAATGAGGAACCAAAACAGAACCCAGAACCCAAAGCGTTCACACCGAGGCCACTTCACTTTCTACATCTCACTTGCATAATGTGGTTAATAAAGAGGCATGCTACAATCAGAACCGGAGGGGAGCGGGTCGAGCCATGAACAAGGAGACTGGAGACGTCCAAATGTGACATGATGGTTCTGATCATCTTCAGATTGGACCAACAGTAGGTTCTGGTCTAATGGACCAAACCTGCAGGTTCCTGGGAAGGAGCAAAGAAACCAGAAGAGCCTGAGCTCAACCATCTGCAGGACAGAGTTTCCTCTGCTGCTGAGCGAAGGTTCAGCTGAAGGTGAAAACGTTCAGGAATAAGTGTAAACATGCACAGCTGATACGAGATTCTGGTTCTGTTACAGCGAAGTTCATCTGGGTTTAGTCCAAACAGGAGTCCATTAGCAATGTGGCAACGTTGGTGTGCAAGAACAATTTACAGTGAATAACATGAATCCAGTCACAGTAGTGATCATGCAGAATTATTAAATGAAGAGATTTTTCTTCAGAGTTTGGCACCAGAAGCCTTGCAGGGCTGCAGCATCATCAGAACCTTTCAGAAGAACCGCTAACAGCTGCCGACCCTGGAGGGAGCAGAAAAACTGAAGATGTGCCTTCAGGACCCAAACGTCCAGCGTTCAGCCACCGTTCCTGTCCGTTCAGTGGCCAGTGGTCGGCACCGATAGCTAACATGTTTGTAGTGCTAATGCTAAACGTTAGCGCAGCTAAAGCATGTCAGTGTGTCAAGTTTAGAAAACCGCTAAAGTGCAAAACAAAGAATTAGCTCTGCTATTAGCACATTAGTATACATGTTCCCTCCTCCGATATGAACTTCCTGTTTCAGGTCCAGAAACTCCAGGACTCTTCATGACCAGTTTTTATAGAAATGATTTGAATTAAAAATCCTCATAAAGTGTAACTAGTGATTCATTTTTCCACCTGTAAAATAAACTTTAAACTTTTAATTGGGAGTTGGAGCCGAATAAACAGAAACTTAACATTTTATTTAATTTCTTTTACTAAATTGTGATGCAAACGGAAATGAAAACCACAAAGGACGGGTTTGGACTGAGCAGCAGGTTTCCTGGACAACAGGCCGGGTTCTGGTCCAGCTCAGGGTTTCTGAGATGAGCTGAAGCTCAGAGACCGACTGCTTCCCCCAAGAGGAAAATCCGATCCACTCTGGTCAGAGCCAGAGGTGCCGAGTAAACGTAACCTTAGCTCCCGAGTGAATAGAAATCCCGGGAATGACTGGGAATAATGTGATGCGAGGCATCGGTTCAGGTCCAGTAAGCGGAGGCGCTGCGGTCAGATCAGACAGGATCATTAAGAGTGTCTGAGGGGCTGACCCGGGATCGGTCTCAGAGGTCGACCTTCACCAGTCATTCGGAAGTGAACCTGACGTCAGGACACCAGGCCTTCTCGGCTTCATCTGACATCTGCTGCTTTCGCAGGATTCAATCAAACTTTCCAGCTGAACTTTTCTGATGACTGATGAAGAGCCTTCCTCTTCCTCTCACCTATAAGAGCAGGTCTAGTCGCTGCAGGATTTCTTCCAGATCCAGACGGTAAATCTAGTCGATCCACAGCAGAGCCAGTCCTCCTGGTCCAGTTCCTGCATGTTTAGTTCTCTTCCTGCTTCAACATCCTGGCATGACAAAGTTCTGCTGAAGAACCATCCAGGTGTGTTGGACCAGGGGAAGAGCTTACAGGGCGCCGGCCCCAGAGGACTGACCTGGGACACCCTGGTCCTCCTGGCTGTGGCCACGGAGGCCTGGAACCTGCAGCTGGAGGCGTCCAGGTCAGAGGAACCTGCAGCTCCTCTAAGGATCCCTCAGACTTCATCCTAACTGCTTACTGAAGCGGGAAGGTTTTTCTCAGGTGTGTGTGATTATGAACGATCTGCAGCTGCGTGGCGGCGGCGCATTGACTGCTCAGCTTTGATGAAGTATGTGGGAAGGCGGAGTCTAACTCTGCCTGATGAAGTCTAGAACTGAATCATGAGTCGGCTCTGGACGCAGTGGCTGAAGAAAACTGACGTTTGGGTCACAGGAACGTGGAAAAGTTTGTTCCCCATGACCTTGTTGTCCGTTTCTTTCCCGCCTTCATAGTGAAAATCTTGATTCATCCCCAGTTCAAAGTTTCAGAGCAGCAGCATCTCCCAGTTTTACAACAGCTTAGACCATTTTAGCATCAGAACATGAGGTCCAGCAGGTCCAGCAGGTCCAACAGGTCCAGCAGGTCCAGCAGGTCCAACAGGTCCAACAGGTCCAGCAGGTCCAGCAGGTCCAGCAGGTCCAACAGGTCCAACAGGTCCAACAGGTCCAGCAGGTCCAGCAGGTCCAGCAGGTCCAACAGGTCCAACAGGTCCAGCAGGTCCAGCAGGTCCAGCAGGTCCAGCAGGTCCAACAGGTCCAGCAGGTCCAGCAGGTCCAGCAGGTCCAGATTCAACACCAACAATCCCTCTTCCACAGAGACAAACGTCTGATTCCAGGGCGGAGGGACCGAAGCAGAGCGTCCGTCTGTTGTCAGCATTGGGACAGAGTTGGCTGGTTGTGTGGAGGTAGAGTATCAGGCAGATCATGCTCATCGTCGTGCAGAAATAAAACCACAAGCTGGAACAGAAGTACGATAGGTTTTCCATCTGGTGAAGGTGGATGGGAACGATAGTGCTTCAGAGACAAGACAGCGCCACGTTGGTCTGCATCTGGTCCTGAAGACACATCAGGATTTTAAGATCCCTGCAAAAATGAACAGAAGAGCTGATGTTGATGCTACCAGAGGGAGTTTGGGTTGGTTCTGGGCAGAAAGGAGGCTCACTGTGGGAAGGTGAGGTTCCATACTTACGTCCCCAGTTGAAGGCGATGGCTGCAGCGATGATGGCGATTCCCCCTAAAATGGAGACGACGGACAGCACCAAGGCGTTGCGACCCAAACGGCGGGCTCCGTCCACGTTGCCCTGCTGCAGACTGTTCCGAGACTGAAGGGAAACATGAACCAGGTTCACAGAAGAACCGATATGACCAACTGTCTGCAAAGCATGTTTGGCTGGGAACCCTGGGATTCATCAGCACTTCCTTTGGGAAAAGTCTTACCATCACGGAGAACGTGAGGGCGACGATGTTGATGGGCACCAAGGGGCAGAAGCAGGACAGGATGGCCAGGATCAGGTAGTCTCTGGGTTTCGATCCGTCCCCAGTGACCTCTGTGATGGCACTGGGCTGGCGGGTGAGCGAGGGCCTCGGTGAGCCCGCCGCCAACGAGCCGGACCGGCTGCCCAAGCAAGGCCGGCCATTAATGTGGCTGCCTGGCTTAGGGTGAAACTTGGGCGACACAGAGGACACTGTGGGCGATGTTTCAGCCATGACAGGAGCAACGCCGTTACCTGGAGGGCAACAGACCAGCACAGAACCCTGAGACTCATGAATAAACCGTTAAAACACAGGAAAACAAGCCTGAGAGGCCGGCCACCACCGCCACCCACGTCACCGCCACCAACGCCACCGCCACCAACGCCACCGCCACCAACGCCACCCACGTCACCCACGCCACCGCCACCCACGCCACCGCCACCAACGCCACCGCCACCAACGCCACCGCCACCAACGCCACCCACGTCACCCACGCCACCGCCACCCACGTCACCGCCACCAACGTCACCGCCACCAACGCCACCGCCACCCACGTCACCGCCACCAACGCCACCGCCACCAACGCCACCGCCACCACCGTCACCGCCACCAACGCCACCGCCACCAACGCCACCGCCACCAACGCCACCGCCACCAACGCCACCGCCACCAACGCCACCGCCACCAACGCCACCAACGTCACCGCCACCAACGTCACCGCCACCCACGTCACCGCCACCAACGCCACCGCCACCAACGCCACCGCCACCAACGCCACCGCCACCCACGTCACCGCCACCAACGTCACCGCCACCAACGTCACCGCCACCAACGCCACCGCCACCAACGCCACCGCTACCAACACCACCGCCACCAACGTCACCGCCACCAACGTCACCGCCACCAACGTCACCGCCACCAACGCCACCGCCACCAACGCCACCGCCACCAACGCCACCGCCACCAACGCCACCGCCACCAACGCCACCGCCACCAACGTCACCGCCACCAACGTCACCGCCACCAACGTCACCCAGGTCACCCACGTCTCCGCCACCAACGCCACCGCCACCAACGCCACCGCCACCAACGCCACCGCTACCAACGCCACCGCCACCAACGTCACCGCCACCAACGTCACCGCCACCAACGTCACCCACGTCACCCACGCCACCGCCACCAACGCCACCGCTACCAACGCCACCGCCACCAACGTCACCGCCACCAACGCCACCGCCACCAACGCCACCGCCACCAACGCCACCGCCACCAACGTCACCGCCACCAACGCCACCGCCACCAACGTCACCGCCACCAACGCCACCGCCACCAACGTCACCGCCACCAACGCCACCGCCACCAACGCCACCGCCACCAACGCCACCGCCACCAACGCCACCGCCACCAACGCCACCCAGGTCACCCACGTCTCCGCCACCAACGCCACCCAGGTCACCCACGTCACCGCCACCAACGCCACCGCCACCAACGCCACCGCCACCAACGTCACCGCCACCAACGCCACCGCCACCAACGTCACCGCCACCAACGCCACCGCCACCAACGCCACCGCCACCAACGCCACCGCCACCAACGCCACCGCCACCAACGCCACCCACGTCACCCACGTCACCGCCACCAACGCCACCGCCACCAACGCCACCCACGTCACCCACGCCACCGCCACCCACGTCACCGCCACCAACGCCACCGCCACCCACGCCACCGCCACCCACGTCACCGCCACCAACGCCACCGCCACCAACGTCACCGCCACCAACGCCACCGCCACCAACGCCACCGCCACCAACGCCACCGCCACCAACGCCACCGCCACCAACGTCACCCACGTCACCGCCACCCACGTCACCGCCACCAACGCCACCAACACCACCGCCACCAACGCCACCGCCACCAACGTCACTGCCACCAACGTCTCCGCCACCAACGTCACTGCCACCAACGTCTCCGCCACCAACGCCACCGCCACCCACGTTAGCTGCCCGTCTCGTCCCTCTAACGTCTGACTGATAAACTCAGCAAAGCGTCTCAGTCTGAGGTTTTATTTTCACCAGCAGCTTATGATGAGAAATGAACTTACTGGTCTCTGTGATCTCACTGATTACTGTCAGGTGGTCGACTGATTTCTCTCTTTCGATTGGCCGGTCATCTGGAGCATCTGAGATCTGCTGCTCTTCAGTGGCCGGCTGAGGGCCGGCGGCCTCTCCGTCTGGCTGTGAGCTGGTTGGCTCCTCCGGCTGCTGCTGGGCCGCCATGCGGGTTTCTGGGGTGCCACTGGGACTGGTGGCCATGGAACAGGTCAAGCAGCGGTCTGCTGAGGAGGATCTGAAGGCAGGATTGATCTGGAAAGGATTGAAGGAGTCAGTCAAATGTAAAGCTTTGGGATAGAACTAATGGACACAAACAGGAGATGAGTGAAACGGATTTATTTACTGTTAGCAGGGCTGCCATTGGTAGAAAAAGCAGAAAGTATGTTTCATAGCAACAACATTAATTATAGATTGAAAAATGGAGGCAGAAGCAAATTACAGCAAAACAGGAGGAGAAAAATCTCAGCGGCTCTCCGGGCCGACGCTGCTCTGTTGATCTCTGCTGAATCAGAAATAACATCAATCTGTGCAGTTTGCTCCTTTAATCTGAAATGAAGCCATAATTAGGATAACCCCAGATGAACTCAGCTGTAATTATGTGACCACTAGGGGGCAGTCTTAGCGTGTTGGAGTGTTTTTCTGAGCAGTTGCTGCTTTGACAGAAAACGCACCCGGTCCTGATGCAGCACAACGCTGTGACTTCCACACCAGTGATCCCAGTAGACACTCACCAGTCAGAATGGGGAGCATGACTCTGACCTCACTGTAAAAAAATTCAAGTTGTTTCCTCCTCTGGTTGCTGAAGAACCAGCGACGTGATGTCACCACATCGTGATGTCACCACATCGTGATGTCACCACATCGTGATGTCACCACATCGTGATGTCACCACATCGTGATGTCACCACATCGTGATCTCACCACGCTGCCATGACGGCGTCACTCGGGAATGAATAAATGAGGTTTCTGACCTAAACTCTGCACAGTTTCATGTGTTGGAGCCACTTATTCTTCATTTCTTCAACAATTTGAATGTTGTTAGTTTATTCTTAGTTCATTTTCTTTTCTTGTTATTATTATTAACAGATGTTATTTGTAGGTTAACTGTTGATTTTATTTATTTTGTTTGATAAATCTTGTTTCTTTTTCTCAGGAAGACAGGAAGTACTGGAGGTCCATAAGTATAGGGACTGGTACCGGACCAGCATGGACTGGTATCAGGAAAACCATAAAAAGTTTGAACTTTGCTATGTGCTGCCAAACATAAAGAACTTTCATTATTTCACCCACTGGAGCTGCAGCTGAAGTAAATGTGAGGATTTGATTTTTATGACCCTTTATTGATTTTAGGATTTTCCATCCTGACACTCAGCGGTCCAGAAAAACCAGTGGCCTGCCGGCGGCCCGGTTGGTGCCAGAACCGACTCCCACAACAATTAACCTACTGGATCTGTTCAGCTTCGGACCGAGGATTAAAGTACTGGACTTATCTGAACCGAGGGAGATGAACAGAACTGGTGTCTGGACCAGCAGAGAAATGGACCGGAGCCGGTTCTGTTTGGTCTGAATCAATAAGCTGGGGTCAAAGGTTACCACTGTGGTCCATTTGGGAGTTAAAACTGGACCGGTTCTGGGTGTGAATAGCTGTGGTTTGAGTCGGACCCGGCCTCTGCTGACCCGGCCCGGTCCAATCCCGTTAGCAGGTTTTTCTTTCCATCAGCAGGGAGATGCTAGCAAAAAGTTAGCATAACTTCCTGAAGTGTTTCAGAAAAATTCATGAAAAAGAAAAGAAAAACTTTGGACACCCCCAACAGTTGCCCCCCTGGGCGGCTGCCCTAAACCTGCAGACAGAAACCAGATCCAGAGTTCAGACTGAGAAACAATCTGCAGTTAAACTTTATATTCACATATTTGAAAATAGAAAAAAATATTTTCTACTGAATCAGAATTGTTGCATTTGATTTTGTTGTTTCAACAGGAGAATAAAATATTGAAATATTAAGATAGAAATAAAAAGTCTCAATACATTTATCTCCAGGTTCCAGCAGGCCCAACTGGACCGGCGCCAGACCGCCGGCCGCTTGCAGCACGTTCTAGAACCCGCCCAGAACCGAGCAATGAGGTCCAGTTCGAACTGAACGGAACCAGCGGAACCGGAGGAGAGCAGCTGAGCTCCGGGCCAGTATTTGATAAGAGAGTCGGAACCTTTCAGGCGTTCAGCCGCCGAGAGCCGCAGGCTGAGACAAAGGCGTGACACGCCCACCCAGAACCAGCAGAACCGGGACCGGGACCAGCCGCAGGTTCTCTCACCTCTAAAGGCTCACCTGGTTCACTGCACAGCCAGCAGCCGGCTGAAGCTCACTGTGGCTCTGCAGGGGGTCCAGAGGGTCCGGCAGGTTCGGCTCCAGTAGCGGGTTTGGAAAATAAAGTAAATGTGGAGAAAAGCAGCAGGACGGAGGATTTGAGCTCCTGTCGGGTTTCTGACGATGCAGAGAATCTGCAGCAGATCAGCACTGCAGGGGGCAGAGAGAGAGAGAGAGAGAGAGAGAGAGAGAGAGAGAGAGAGAGAGCGAGAGAGAGAGAGAGAGAGAGAGAGAGAGTGTGTGTGTGTGTGTGTGTGTACAGTAGCTGCTTTCTTATTCTCTGAGTATCAAGTTTACCCAAATATATGATGGAAAGACCTTTCAAAATAAAAGCCTGTGAGGTCCCTGTTCTTCATCAGAGTCTTCCTCAGCCTGTCCACTGTCCCTCATGTCCTCCACGTCTCTAAGTCCAGTTTGAGTCGAACCTGAGACTGGTGGAGGTTATGGGTCGGTTTAGGTCAGCAGAATGGCCTAGTCAAAGCTGATGTTCTCCATCAGAGGAGGTTCTCTAGAGTTCTGAGCCAATAAAGCACACCACACTTTTCAGATTGTTGTTTTAACTTTTCAAAGTTTTCAAAGTTATTTTATTCCCTCCAAGTTCTGCCCTCTGGACTCGAGGTCCCCGGGAAACGCACTGGAGATCAGTGTTGGACCGGACCGGACCGGACCGGAGCGGTTCAGAACAAGCCCGACAGACTTCCGAACCAATGACCAGCCAGTGACGTTCTTGCGGTCCAGTTTTTCTCCATCCGGAAGCTCCGGGTCGGTCTGGACTTCCAGAACCCCGACCCAACTTCACATAGTTTGTCTGGATCCATTAAATGCCTGGAGAACTGAGGCCGAGTCGGGACCGAACCGAACCGGGGCGGGTTGAGGTTCCAACGGTACCATGAAGCAGTTTGACTCTGAGCTCTGATCAGCCTGGGCTCTTATTTTGGTATTCTACAGGAAGCGGTGATCGTGGTCATAGTAAACCGTCACCGCCTCCCAGCGGCCGCTGGGGGAACTGACACGGAGAGCAAACTAACTAACTAACTAACTAACTAACTAACTAACTAACTAACTAACTAACTAACTAACTAACTAACTAACTAACTAACTAACTAACTAACTAACTAACTAACAACTCCATTTTATTTTTGTTTAATGAGAACAAATCCCAAATATATATGAATATATTTTTGTCGTAGTTCTTTCTTCATCTCATGCTTTACATGTGTTTCATATCTTTTAATATAATTTATTTCTCAGTAACCTTTTTAACTTATATGGAAAAGTTTTGATTCGAGTGAAAACGTAAGAATGTTGAAATGATTTTAATTTGAAGGTTCATAGAAAAGTCCGTTTTTATTTGATGGAGTCAAAGGAGGAAATCAGGCTGCAGGTTTTTATTTGTCTCCAGAAACAACCGGAAACATTTCGATGATAGAGATGCAGGTCATTGCCATAGCAACACACATTTTTCCTATGGGACTTGGTTTTAATAATATGACTGGAAGACTGGGAGGGTTAGAGTGAAAAGTTCTGCAGATCCAGAACCAGTTTGGATCGCCCTCCAGTCAGACGTCCCGACTGGGTCCAACTCACTGAGTGAGAGCCCACAGCACCATGCTGCCACCACCACGCCAGGCTCCTCCCCCATCATGGCAGCAGCAACTGTACCAGTGAACTGGTTTCACTGGGCCGTCTCACAGGAGGTCCAATTCATGGGGGGCTGACCTTTCGCGGTTCCGGGTTGTTCCTGAACACCGAACCAGTTTCCTCTTTTCTGGATCTCCTCCTCGGTTCTGAACACAATCTGATTCTCAGCGAAGCTGGACTCTTAGACGGAGTCTTATTTTGAAGGCTCACCGAGCCGCTTCCTGTTTGCTCGGTAACATTCGGTTCGGGTTCGGCTGTCGGTGTTTTCAGGATCAAAATGACCAAACTGCAGCTGCTCAGCGCCTACCTGACGGAGCGGCTCACCGCCGTGGTGAAGGAGGTTCTGGACGTGGTGGAGGACACGGTGGCCCAGTACCGGGAGGAGACGGCCAGAACCCGGCGGGAGAACGAGAGCCTGCGGAGGCAGCTGCGGGACATCCTGCTGCTGGAGGCCGAGACCGAGTGGCTGAGTGAGGGTCGTTCCAAACCCCGCCGGAAAATCTCTGGTTTTAAAACTTACTGCCGATTTTAAGGTTAAATATTGACCAAATCACATTTTTAAAACTTATTCCGGGCAGACCAGAACCGCGTTTAATATTCGGCTTCAGCTTAAAGAATCATTTCTGTCGATATATTGAAACAAAAGGGACTTTTTCAGGTTTTGATCGCCACTTCCTCTTCCCCTGAAGCCTGATGGAGAATCAGCTGATTGTGACTTTCATTAGAAACTAGCAAACTGTCCTTTTGGAAATCACCCCGAGTTATTGTATAATTGATGTTGGATCTAAACGAGTCCCACTTAACACATTTATTAGTTTATGTAAACACAAAATGATCATTTTAGAAAAGCTTTAACGGACGTTCAGCCTGAGTCTATGAGCAGAATCATACAGATACAGCTCATTCAATGATTATATCATCGGAAGGTTCATTTCACTAACTCACTTCAAACACTGTTGAATGATTGATTGATTGATTCCCTCAGATCGACTTGAGGTTTCAGTTTGTTGATTCTGGCTCCCTGTATCAACAACATCTCCTTAACGCTCATCTTGGTTCTGTGGGCCCGAATCGGTGATGTTGTCTTCAGATCCAACAATCCCAGGTCCCGCCACTCGGAACCTGAGATTCCTGGTCTTGATGTTGTGACCGGTTGGCTTGTCTGCGATGAGGTGAACGGGTTCTGTTTCTGTTTCAGGGTCGACCCAGGCCGGTTTGGGTTTCGTACCTGCAGAGCAGCAGCCCAGTGACCTGAAACCCAGAGCCCTCTTAGAGGAGCCAGACTCCACCCTGACCCAGTCCAGGCCTCCTCCGGCCTCAGTCCAACTTCTGTCGGTTCCGAAAGATGCGCCATCAGCACCGACCCAGGTCCAGCCCACAGAACTCTGGGATCAGACACCAAAACCCGACCCGCTGCAGGAGGCGTTCCGGAGGACGTCTCCTCTCCCGGCTCTTCTGCGCCCGAATCCTCCCAGGATCCGGGCGGACGGACCGGCGCCCAGGGAGGAGCCACAGGCCCCGCCCACTGCACCGGTCAAAGCCGAACCCCACGAAGCAAGCAGAGAGAGTCCAGCTGAGTCGGTGAACGCTCACGTTGAGTCGGGCTTTGACTACACGTCTGAGGAGGAGCAGCTGCTGGCGGACCAGCAGGACGCCTCCAGAACCGGGCCGACCTCCCAGGAGACCCGGCCGCCTGAAGACGCCGCGGTCACAGCGCTCATCCCTGAGCTCGTCCAGCGCTGCCCCCGCTGCGGCGAGGCGTTCGGTCACAGCGCGGGGCTCCGCCTCCATCTGGAGCAGAAGAGGAAGACCTACGCCTGCGACTGGTGCTGCAAGTCCTTCGCCCAGTCGGCCGATCTGCGGCGCCACCTTCGCACGCACACGGGGGAGCGGCCGCACCGCTGCACCTTCTGCTCCAAGAGCTTCAGCCAGAGAGGAAACCTGCGGCGCCACCTGCGGATCCACACCGGCGAGCGTCCGTACAGCTGCCCGTTCTGCTGCCGCAGCTTCAGCGACGGAGACACCATGAAGAAGCACAAACGGACGCACTCCGGAGAGAAACCGTACCGCTGCGGACGCTGCGCCAAGACCTTCACCAGCGCCAGCGGCCTGCAGCTGCACCTCAGGAAGGACCTGTGCTACAGCGCCTGAACGGATTGGGCCTGGAGGAACCGCTCAGAACCTTCAGGAGCAGAACCTTCAGGAGCAGAACCTTCAGGAGCAGAACCTTTAGGAGCAGAACCTTCAGGAGCAGAACCTTCAGGAGCAGAACCTTCAGGAGCAGAACCTTCAGGAGCAGAACCTTCAGGAGCAGAACCTTTAGGAGCAGAACCTTCAGGAGCAGAACCTTTAGGAGCAGAACCTTTAGGAGCAGAACCTTTAGGAGCAGAACCTTCAGGAGCAGAACCTTTAGGAGCAGAACCTTTAGGAGCAGAACCTTCAGGAGCAGAACCTTCAGGAGCAGAACCTTCAGGAGCAGAACCTTCAGGAGCAGAACCTTCAGGAGCAGAACCTTTAGGAGCAGAACCTTTAGGAGCAGAACCTTCAGGAGCAGAACCTTCAGGAGCAGAACCTTCAGGAGCAGAACCTTTAGGAGCAGAACCTTCAGGAGCAGAACCTTCAGGAGCAGAACCTTCAGGAGCAGAACCTTTAGTAGCAGAACCTTTAGGAGCAGAACCTTTAGGAGCAGAACCTTTAGGAGCAGAACCTTCAGGAGCAGAACCTTTAGGAGCAGAACCTTTAGGAGCAGAACCTTTAGGAGCAGAACCTTTAGGAGCAGAACCTTCAGGAGCAGAACCTTCAGGAGCAGAACCTTCAGGAGCAGAACCTTTAGTAGCAGAACCTTTAGGAGCAGAACCTTTAGGAGCAGAACCTTTAGTAGCAGAACCTTTAGGAGCATAACCTTTAGGAGCAGAACCTTTAGGAGCAGAACCTTCAGGAGCAGAACCTTCAGGAGCAGAACCTTTAGGAGCAGAACCTTCAGGAGCAGAACCTTTAGGAGCAGAACCTTTAGGAGCAGAACCTTCAGGAGCAGAACCTTTAGGAGCAGAACCTTTAGGAGCAGAACCTTCAGGAGCAGAACCTTTAGGAGCAGAACCTTCAGGAGCAGAACCTTCAGGAGCAGAACCTTCAGGAGCAGAACCTTTAGGAGCAGAACCTTTAGGAGCAGAACCTTCAGGAGCAGAACCTTCAGGAGCAGAACCTTCAGGAGCAGAACCTTTAGGAGCAGAACCTTCAGGAGCAGAACCTTTAGGAGCAGAACCTTCAGGAGCAGAACCTTCAGGAGCAGAACCTTCAGGAGCAGAACCTTTAGGAGCAGAACCTTTAGGAGCAGAACCTTCAGGAGCAGAACCTTTAGGAGCAGAACCTTTAGGAGCAGAACCTTTAGGAGCAGAACCTTCAGGAGCAGAACCTTCAGGAGCAGAACCTTCAGGAGCAGAACCTTTAGGAGCAGAACCTTCAGGAGCAACCTTTAGGAGCAGAACCTTTAGGAGCAGAACCTTTAGGAGCAGAACCTTCAGGAGCAGAACCTTCAGGAGCAGAACCTTTAGGAGCAGAACCTTCAGGAGCAGAACCTTTAGGAGCAGAACCTTCAGGAGCAGAACCTTCAGGAGCAGAACCTTTAGGAGCAGAACCTTTAGGAGCAGAACCTTCAGGAGCAGAACCTTCAGGAGCAGAACCTTCAGGAGCAGAACCTTTAGGAGCAGAACCTTTAGGAGCAGAACCTTCAGGAGCAGAACCTTCAGGAGCAGAACCTTCAGGAGCAGAACCTTCAGGAGCAGAACCTTCAGGAGCAGAACCTTTAGGAGCAGAACCTTCAGGAGCAGAACCTTCAGGACCAGAACCTTTAGGAGCAGAACCTTCAGGAGCAGAACCTTTAGGAGCAGAACCTTCAGGAGCAGAACCTTCAGGAGCAGAACCTTCAGGAGCAGAACCTTGCGGACTGCAGGTTTTCATGGTTCAGGGAGTTTCCGAATGAATAACGACCTCACAGGAGGTCGTGAAAAGAACGTTTTGGATCTAATCAGAACAGAACCTGACCCAGAGGTCTGGGTCCAAACATCCACAGCTTCACTAACCAGCAACAGATCCAAATCCTGTTCGGATCAGAACCAGCACTACTAAACGGGTTCTGGAAATGTTCCGGCTGCAGCGTTTGCTGCCTCCAATATTTAGGAGACATCAGACCGGAACTGGACAGAACCGGTTTACACCAATCTCAGATGCAACTGGGGCGAACTCAGGAGTCAGAACCAGGTCCGACCCGCTGCTGGACACTCGGCAGGAACCAGAACCTCCTAAAGGTTTGCTGAGGAAAGCTGTTTGGACCTCTCCGGAACCAGGTCAGCTCCTGGATCTGCTGATGTTCTGCTGAATCAACATGTCAAGAATTGGACCGCAGATTCTGAAGAAGGAAACTGTCAACAGCCTGAAAGTAAAGCAGAACCATCGACGGTAGACAAACCTGGCCTTTAATTAGGCCACATTTAGTTAGATCTCTAATGAACATCCGGTGGCTCTAAAACGATCCAGTGAGGACGGGTCAGCGAAAGCACTGGAGGTCTTCAGCGCCCTGGGGTTACCATCGCAGCCGCCCATGATAACCATTACACGCCGTCTTCATGCTGACTGGTTGGACTGGAAGGACATTTAAACTTCCCAGAGACAAAAATGGAAGTTTGGTGAAAAACTGATCATCAGATTTTGGTTTCATGAGAAAAAGATTCAATAAAATGTTTCCAACCTGATGTTGAAATGTGTTTTCCATGTTGTGCATCAGACATGAAGAAAACGACATGGAGAGACTGAAACCTGGAGATCCTGAATGTTTATGGATTAAAAAGAGCAACTGACCCTTTAAAACCATCCTGATCTTTGATGCTCCATTAAATCATAAAAATGTTTCCACATCGTCTCAGATTTATGACAAAACATCTGGAGCTTCAGCCTCTATGTTGCTCTACTGACCTGAGCATGACCCAGCTGCCTGCAGGGGGCGCTGTGCAAACAAACCCACTCAGTCCAGAGGCAGAGCTGCAGCCAGAATTTCTTGTTTCAGAAAAACCACAAATAGAAACGTAAACGCGCTCCCCCCATCCGGAGCCGCGCTCCCATCATCCGGAGCCGCGCTCCCCCCATCTGGAGCCGCGCTCCCCCCATCTGGAGCCGCGCTCCCCCCATCCAGAGCCGCGCTCCCATCATCCGGAGCCGTGCTCCCCCCATCCAGAGCCGCGCTCCCATCATCCGGAGCCGCGCTCCCATCATCCGGAGCCGCGCTCTCAACATTCAGTCGTGCAGAAAAATGTAAAAACAACCGGAAGTTTCTGTTACCATAGAAAAAGAGTCAGGACAGCAACATAATCCATGCAGCGACGAGGAAGAACCACTTAGATTCATTTATACCATCGTCTTCATCATCAAGAGGAGAGCAACGTTTCAGGAAGGAGATTAGATCAGAAGACTGAGATTAAAACAGCATATAATCCAGATTAAAACATACAACTCAGATTGAAATACATTAAATCAGAAAACAGATCAAATAAAACAAATTAAAATCAAGAAATAATCATTAAATTAAGGTAATTACTAGATTATCTAGAATCTCAAAATCCAGATTAATGAAGGTTAATCTGGAAATGAATCAAAAGGAAATGCAGTTCTGATCCGTTTGATGATTCTGGATCAGAGCGAAAAACAACACTTACTGATTCAGAAAGTTGACTGGAAGGAAAAAAAGCATCAATACCAGAATGAGAGCAGCCATGAACCAGAACCAGGTTTCAGGAGGTGGTATGGTGATGTGGTACCATCTCCTGGTTCTGGTTCGGGTTCGCTGGGTTTTCTGAGCCCTTCAGTCAAGCAGCGGCAGAAACAATCCAAAAGGTTCTGTCAGGAAGAGGAGGCAGAACCAACAATGATGGCCGCTACCAAAGCAATCTGGACCTCCAGAACCTCAGGCTGGTTTCCATGCTACGCTGCATTAATGCAGTAATGCTGAGAAAGAAATAGATATTTCTGGATAAAATCTGATTTAATAATCTGACGTTGAGTTTCCATGTGAACGACCAGAACCTTCAGAACTACAGGAAGTAACGTCGACATGTTTGGCTTTGTGACGGATCGTTGAGCCAAACTTTGATGCCCAGGATGACGGCAGTTCCCGTCATCCTGATGGAGCCGAGCGTTTCTGGTCCGCCGGATCGTCTTCCTTTCTGGATTCCAGGCAACAGATGACCTTTGACACCATCCTGACAAAAAACATTGTCTGGAGCAAACAAGTACCCTGAAGAACCTACTGAATTATCAATAATCTGGATCATCAGTAATCTGGATTATCAGTAATCTGGATTATCAGTCATCTGGATTATCAGTCATCTGGATTATCAGTCATCTGGATTATCAGTCATCTGGATTATCAATAATCTGGATTATCAGTAATCTCTAATTGCAAACGTTTACTCAGATTTCATTGACTTTTTCACAACTCTGGCTCTGGAAGCTCCTGGAACTGGACCGTCAGGCGGTGGGACGAGCCTCTCCTCCATTAAGGGACGGAGCCTGAAGGACCAGTTGAAGGCGGCTCCGTCACCAGGGCAAAGGTCAGAGGTCACCGGCCTCTACTGACAGTGTCTAACGCTGCAGTGGGACTTTAAAGGCTCCGAAATCCAAGAGTTCACAAATCATACGACCAATAATCAATAATAATAATAACGGCTTCATGCAGAGAGTGAAGTGTCGGTCCAAGACGGGGCGGATCGCCCTGTAAACATGCTGAAACGTTTCCAGATGGTCAGAGACGAAGGCGCGCCGACCGCAGGCGGCAGCGTTAGTCGTGACTGGAGCTCCGCGGCAGCTCATTGGTCAGGATGTGCCAGCGCTCCACCCGCTGACCTTTGTTCTTCAGGCAGTCCATCCAGTGGCGAAGGGCGTCGCCCTGAGAGCGGCAGCTCAGGTAGACGCCACCTGGACACAGGAACGACAGGAAGTTCCTTCTGGAGACTGAATACCTGCAGACAGCGAAGCTGCGCTTTGTTCTGCGTGGGCGTTCACGCAAGGGATCCACTGGGATCCACTGGGATCCCTGATCATCCACCAATGAAGTCGTTGGACCGCCCCAGGTCATGGTCCCACACCGTCACCTCCAGAGTCTTCTTGGCCAACTCTGACAGCGAGACGTCATAGAAAAACTCCTGCAGCAGGAAACATTAGAGGCTTTTACTGTGAAGAGATCAGGAAACATTAGAGGCTTTTACTGTGAAGAGATCAGGAAACATTAGAGGCTTTTACTGTGAAGAGATCAGGAAACAGTGAGCAGGAACAGTAACAGCTCATCAACTCAGAGTGTGTGTGTGTGTGTGTGTTTGTGTGTGTGTCTCTGTGTGTGTGTCTCTGTGTGTGTGTCTCTGTGTGTGTGTGTCTGTGTGTGTGTGTGTGTGTCTCTGTGTGTGTGTGTGTTTGTGTGTGTGTCTCTGTGTGTGTCTCTGTGTGTGTGTGTCTGTGTGTGTGTCTCTGTGTGTGTGTCTCTGTGTGTGTGTGTGTCTGTGTGTGTGTGTGTGTGTCTCTGTGTGTGTGTGTTTGTGTGTGTGTGTCTCTGTGTGTGTGTCTCTGTGTGTGTGTTTTGTGTCTGTGTGTGTTTGTGTGTGTGTCTCTGTGTGTGTGTGTCTGTGTGTGTGTGTCTCTGTGTGTGTGTCTCTGTGTGTGTGTGTCTGTGTGTGTGTGTGTGTTTGTGTGTGTTTGTGTGTGTGTGTGTTTGTGTGTGTGTGTGTGTGTGTGTCTCTGTGTGTGTGTGTGTGTGTGTGTGTGTGTTCTGACCTGGTTGAACTCTGGGTTCAGGGTTTTCTTCATCACGGCGGTTTTGTGTTTGGATTTCTTCAGGATGTCGGGCTTCAGGTATCTGACGAAGAAAATCGTCTTTTATTTTGAAAGGATGAAGGTTTTTGTTGTTAACCAAACGAACGGCGTGACCAGAGGTTCACATCAACAGTCCTAAGGAGTTTGGGGACCACAGACCCAGTTCTGGTTCCGGTCCAGCTGACATTTATATGCTGGACCCTGCTTCAGAACCAGAAGCTGGGTTCTCCGCTCGTCTCCTGGGCTCAGTCGGGTCGGGTTGCAGCGCTGAGCAGGAGATTCTGCAGGGAAACGGGTCGGTTCTGATTTTCATCTAGAACCGCACATCTGAAAAAAACAGACAGAAAACTACCAGAACCAGAACCGGGTCTGTCTGTCCTGAGCAGCCTCCATCATTTTAGGGGGCGCTGCTCGTAAAGGAACACTGTCAAATATTATCTTTGGATCTTTGTCATTTATAAAGGTAGGAATAACTTTTAAAACTTTAAAATGAACCACGTTTATTCTGTCAGGCTGAATAAACCAAATGAATTTGTTTCATTTTTTACAGTGTTCCTACGGCGCCCAGATGACCTCTGCCCTTTGCCTCCACCGGGGAAACCCCGCCCACTCACAGTTTGACATAAGGGTCAGAGAATCCATTGACGTCCATGGCCGCCAGGTGAGTGCAGCGCCTCACGCCGACACAGAGGGCGCCACTGAGCGGGCCTTCACCTCCATCAGCGCCATCAGGACGGACGGAGGGCAGGAACTGCAGGGACAGCAGCAGCCGGCCTCGCTCCTCCAGGCTGTGCAGCTGCTCGTTCTCCCACTGCAGACAGCACCAGTGAAACCAGTTCATTTAAACCAGTTCATCTAAACCAGATCCAGTTAAAAAGAGCCCAGTCTAACTGGGAGCACTGGGAGATTTCTCTCTGCTCCGGTTTGAAACTCTAGGACTGAAAATGAGTCCAACCAGTTAAACCACACAGAAGGTCAACTGAAGGTCAACCGGGGAGCGTCTTCTTCACTGCTGTCCTCGATTGAAGCTCGTCTCTGCTTCGATCCGATCAGATCAGCAATCGATTCGCCGTATTCGTCCGTCCTGACGTGCGGCAGCCTCGGGTCGGATCCGTCCTGCAGCTTCAGCAGAAGCTCTTTGTGTCTGAAGGAAGTTCAGTTCAGCAACTTCAGGTAGACGGCTCTGATTTCCCATCAGAGTGAGACGTCTGTGTTCAGAGTGGATCTCTGAGTCTCAGAGCATCCAGATCTATGTAAGTGAAACCGATGAATGAATGAATGTGTCACAGAAGCGTTTGTGGTTCTGTGTGGTCAGTTCATTGAGTCACTCATGTATAAATTATACTCAGGTTCCCAATGAGACACGTTTTGTTCTGCACTAAAGATCAAATTGGTTTAATTAGATAAACTTTGCGTTTCTTTGTCAGATTTCAGCTCAAACTTCTGAGAATCAGCAGGAAACTGCAGAAGCTTCTGCTGCACAGGCTGAACTGAAAGGTGCGTCAGCAGGTAAAGCTGCTGTTTGTCTCCATGCTGAGGTCAAATTGGCTGAAAATGCGTCCAGTGAAACCGGCTCTGCTGCTTCGCCTTTGTCCAAGCACCTGGACCGTTCCTGAGGTGAAAGCTGCCAGCTAACAAGCTCAACACGCAACAATCACAGAGACATTTTGCTTCTTTAGCACATAAGACCAAATGAATGTTTTAAAGGGAAACTATGGAGGCTGGACAGAATCCCAGAAACAGGAAGTTGTGACGCTGCTGGAAAGAAGACAGACGGCGTCTGAGAGGAAGAACATCCCGATGCGTTGATGGCATTTTAATCACGTCTCACTCTCTGCTATGCTGCCAATGTTTCAACAGGTTGGTCTGACCGTTTTCTATTTGCTCAAACCCTGGATCAGCAGGAACCCAAAGGAACCAAAGAGCCTTTAGGGAACGAGACGAGGAGGAAACAGAAGCAGCGACAGTCCAGATTAGAGACAGCAAGGAACAGAGTCCAGATCTTCACCATGCCAGGCGTCAGACCCAGTTCAATCCCAGTTTAATCCCAGTTCAATCCCAGTTCAATCCCAGTTCAAATCCCAGTTTAATCCCAGTTCAATCCCAGTTTTTAATCCCAGTTCAATCCCAGTTCAATCCCAGTTCAATCCCAGTTCAATCCCAGTTCAATCCCAGTTCAATCCCAGTTTAATCCCAGTTCAATCCCAGTTTAATCCCAGTTTAATCCCAGTTCAATCCCAGTTCAATCCCAGTTTAATCCCAGTTCAATCCCAGTTCAATCCCAGTTTAATCCCAGTTCAATCCCAGTTCAATCCCAGTTTAATCCCAGTTCAATCCCAGTTCAATCCCAGTTCAATCCCAGTTTAATCCCAGTTCAATCCCAGTTCAATCCCAGTTTAATCCCAGTTTAATCCCAGTTCAATCCCAGTTTAATCCCAGTTCAATCCCAGTTTAATCCCAGTTTAATCCCAGTTCAATCCCAGTTCAATCCCAGTTTAATCCCAGTTCAATCCCAGTTTAATCCCAGTTCAATCCCAGTTCAATCCTAGTTCAATCCCAGTTCAATCCCAGTTTAATCCCAGTTCAATCCCAGTTTAATCCCAGTTCAATCCCAGTTCAATCCCAGTTCAATCCCAGTTTAATCCCAGTTTAATCCCAGTTCAATCCCAGTTCAATCCCAGTTCAATCCCAGTTCAATCCCAGTTCAATCCCAGTTTAATCCCAGTTCAATCCCAGTTCAATCCCAGTTTAATCCCAGTTCAATCCCAGTTCAATCCCAGTTCAATCCCAGTTTAATCCCAGTTCAATCCCAGTTCAATCCCAGTTTAATCCCAGTTTAATCCCAGTTCAATCCCAGTTTAATCCCAGTTCAATCCCAGTTTAATCCCAGTTCAATCCCAGTTCAATCCCAGTTTTAATCCCAGTTCAATCCCAGTTTAATCCCAGTTCAATCCCAGTTTAATCCCAGTTCAATCCCAGTTTAATCCCAGTTCAATCCCAGTTTAATCCCAGTTTAATCCCAGTTCAATCCCAGTTTAATCCCGCTCACCTCTCTCAGGTAGCAGGATATTCCTCTCAGAGCTTCTCCCATGGCGGTGGGGGACGGCAGCTGAAGGACACAGAGACAGGACAAGGTGACGACGCTTGGTCCAGACGGACCTGTCCAGAACCGTCTACTTTCCTTCTGAGCCCGATTCTAACGGATCCAGATGGGCGGTTCTGTCAGCAGAAATCTATTTGGTTTAAAGTCACAGAACGACATTCGTCTCGTCTGGCTTCACAGGAAACAGGAAGCGTCTGTCGGCTGGCGACTAGCGGCTGGCGACTGTCGACTAGCGGCTAGCGACTGGTGACTAGCGACTAGCGGCTGGTGACTAGCGACTAGCGGCTAGCGACTGTCGACTAGTGACTAGCGACTAGCGGCTGGCGACTAGCAGCTGGCGACTAGCGACTGGCACTAGCGGCTAGCGACTAGCGGCCGGCGACTAGCGGCCGGCGACTGGCGGCCGGCGACTAGCGGCTAGCGACTGTCGACTAGCGGCTAGCGACTGGTGACTAGCGACTAGCGGCTAGCGACTGTCGACTAGTGACTAGCGGCCGGCGACTAGCGGCCGGCGACTAGCGGCCAGCGGCTAGCGACTGTCGACTAGTGACTAGCGGCCGGCGACTAGCGGCCAGCGACTAGCGGCTGTCGACTAGCGGCCGGCGACTAGCGGCTAGCGACTGTCGACTAGTGACTAGCGACTAGCGGCCGGCGACTAGCGGCCAGCGACTAGCGGCTGTCGACTAGCGGCTAGCGACTAGCGGCTAGCGACTGTCGACTAGCGGCTAGCGACTAGCGGCCAGCGACTAGCGGCTAGCGACTGTCGGCTAGCGACTAGCGGCTAGCGACTAGCGACTGGCGACTGGCGGCTCGGTTCTGGTCCATCAGAACATTCCCTTTATGTTTATGAAAATCAGCCGGATTCAGGTTTTACCGGCGGCGGATGCTCCAGGCATGTGTGGAAATGTTTGGACTGGTCCGGTTTGACCCGCTTCAGGGGAACCCGGGACTCTCCGATCAACTCGTTATGAGTCAACTTGTCCTCATCACAGACGGTCAACCTGAGACACAGAGACATGAAGCAAGTCAGGCATGAGAGTTTAAATGAATAATTTGGTTTATTTAGTTTAAGTAACAAAATGACATTTTCACCTTGTTATTCATTCTGATATAAATGTTACAGTTTTAAACTAAATATTAAATTAACAAGCTAAATATTTAACTTACTAACTAAACTTTTAGTTTAGCTGGAAGCAAAATATTTAGTTTGCAAACTAAATATTTTTTTCTTCAAAGTAAATTCAGTTTAAAACTGAGACATTTATATTTGACTGGAAATTGAGAGTGCATTTATTTATGACCGGCTGAATATCAAATTATTGCTGTAACTTGAAATCGGCTGAGAAGCAGCACAAGTTCTGATTGTTGGAACTCGACCAGAACCTTTTCCAGAACAGAACCAGGAAGAAAAACAAGAAAGAAAATGAGCCAATGAGGAATGAAGCAGGAAAACCAGTAAAGCCCACAGAAACCAGTTTACAGCAGCAACACCGGTTGCTATGGCTCCGATTGTGGGCGTCCATTAAACACACCTGAGCGTCTTCCTGTGCATGTCCTCCTCTGTGATCCCACAGTAGGTGAGCGTCTCGTTCCAGAAGGGATTCAACGTGTTTCTGATCGTCTTTGTCTTCAGCTTGTTGGCCTGAAACAGAGACAGAAGGGACATGCAGGACGAGTCTTCTGAAACTATTTGTCCACATAGACTAAAACCTTTCTTGCTCACTTCTTTAGTTTGATTCTTTGTGTCAGAAACTGTCAAGCTAGCATCAAGCTAGCATCAAGCTAGCATTAAGCTAGCATTAAGCTAGCATTAAGCTAGCATCAAGCTAGCATTAAGCTAGCATCAAGCTAGCATCAAGCTAGCATCAAGCTAGCATCAGGATGTCCTTCATGTTCTGATCCACCAGGTCTGAGAAGCAGAACCATCTTCAATCTGGAAATTATTTACCTTCCATCTTCAGAAGGAGACAATTCATTAGCTCCAGCAGCAAATTATAAAACTGGAGAAAGGTTAAAGGTCAGCTTGCAGAGTGCTTACAATTACCTTGGAGTGTGCTAATGGTTACCCTACAGCATGCTAAAGTTTAGCCAGTAACATGCCAAAAGCATGACATCAGCTGCCTTCTGCCTCACACTGATCCTTAGCAGCAAGATTCCTATCAGTCAAAGGGGAGCAGGATGTTTGACCTTTGACCTGTGATCTTCACACAGACCACAAGTGAGGCTAGGAGCGACTCACCTTGCTGGCGCCAGGCAGCAGGTGCAGCTTGACATAGGGATCAGCTAAACCGTTGAAATCCATGGGCTTCAGACCCTGAAACAGAACATCATCAGCCGAGTAAGTTCCTAGAGACGGATCGACTCCACCAGGGGGCCCACAACCGTACTGGGCCCACAGCCGTACTGGGCCCACAGCCATACTGGGCCCACAACCGTACTGGGGCCCACAGCCATACTGGGCCCACAACCGTACTGGGCCCACAGCCATACTGGGCCCACAACCGTACTGGGCCCACAGCCGTACTGGGCCCACAGCCATACTGGGCCCACAACCGTACTGGGCCCACAGCCGTACTGGCCCACAGCCGTACTGGGCCACAACCGTACTGGGCCCACAACCGTATTGGGCCCACAGCCGTATTGGGCCCACAGCCATACTGGGCCCACAGCCAGACTGAGCTGAGTCTCCTGAGGAATCCATGAGGAATCTGCGCTACACGTCTTTCTACAAACATCTCTGACTTTTCAAACTAGTGAAGAACATAAATGGATTGATTCTGTTAATCAGTTCCATCAGTTTGTAAAATGTTTCATTTTATAAATAAAACAGGCCTGGATGGGCAGCTATTGGTCCTTTGCTAATGGATTTGTAACCATTAGCTTGCAGCGTGCTAACGATTACCAAACAACTTGCTAGCCACTAGCATGCTGTTTGCCAAAAGTTAGCTCAAAGATTCAATAAAAATCTGTCAGATTTACTTTTTTCGCATTTTTGGCGATGCCTGTCTGTAACAAAACTTTTCAAAATAATTGTAGCCGTATGTTGTGTTCATCTGCTCCGGAGTAAATCACCAGTAAACTGTTTCTCTTCCAGTATGCGTTTCAACCAGTAAGGAACCAGTAAGGGACCAGTAAGGGACCAGTAAGGGACCTCCACCTTCACCTGGAGATGGAGCAACGCCGGGAATCAGCCACATCTAACGAGCCGAAGAGCGAAAACCCGGCAAACGACACCTGAAGGAGCCGAGGGACGGAGACGGCGGGGGGTCCAACAGCGATGGACTGAGCCACTGGTTGAACTGGTTGAATGGGTTAAACGGTCCTAGTTAACTGGGAGTGAGGCTTTCAGCAGAGACGGAGCCAGGTTCCTTCAGCGGGTTAAATGGCATCAGAACCGATTCTGATACCGACCCTCTTCTAAACTGGGTCAGAACTTCAGTTCTGGTAGGTCCGGTTCGGGACCCGGCAGAGGTCCATGTCTACCAGTGGGGACAGGAAGCTGACACCAGCTGCTCTTCACACCTGCCCAGGCGCTGCTGCTTCCTGTCTCACCTGATGACCTCTCACAGCTGTGAGGGCAGCGAGGCCTGGAGGCATCGAGCTGGCCCGGTTCTGACCCACTATGCGCACCTTTCTGGTTTCCTGGGAGAGAACGGACCAGAACTCGGCTTCATTCCTGAAGCTCTAAGCTGAAACTTTCAGGTTCTGGTGAGTTTGGTTCCGTCTGTCCTTTAATGGGCCGCTCTGTGTCTGAACGGCTCTGGATGGAAGCCTGAGTGAAACCACCAATCAGAGGTAGGAGGCGGGTCTTAATGCTGTCAATCACCTTGCTCAATTAAGAGCGACTGTTGTGAACGCTAAGGCTTGTTAGCATAGCCACCGATAACGGCAGAAAAACAGTTTTCCTGGTGAGTTTTTGTCTGCCATTGGTGCGTTTATCATGAGTTGATTGACAGCATTAAGCCCCTCCCCCTGCCTCTGATTGACCGTTTTTGGTCGGGAGCGTTTCATTTCTTCAATCAGCACTAGCCAATCGGGGAGCAGGAGGAGATTGATCAGATTATCAGGTTCATAACAAACAGCGCTAATCCCTGCTAACTCTGTCCTCAGGTCCCATTCGGACCCACAGAACCAAAGCCAGCTGTCCCTCCAGCCAGCAGGGGGCGCTGCAGCAGCAGAGTTACAGTTAATAAATGAATCTTTTCTCATTTGTCCTGGGAAAATGACTTCCAGGATGATCAGGAATTAAATCATTGATTGATTCATATTTTCCAGCAGATTTTCCATTTTAATCAAGAGAATCAAATCAGAATCAGGATAAATTGTGATGATTAAGATACTAATTATGATCCTTGAAAATTAAAATAGTTTAATTTATAAAAGCTTGAAGCGCTCAGGGAAGGTCAGAGGTCACAGCTGGTTGGTTTGTCTGATAGAAGGAAGTTCAGGAACCCAGAGATCAGAGAACTGCTTTCTCCTGAACTTTTACTGTTCACGAAGGCATCGCTCTATTCGGGATCAATTGCTTTTAGCCGATAATCTGTAGAAATGTCTCTTTCTGGTTCCGTCATCATAGTTTTGTTCAGGAGCCAAGCGTCTGATGGTTCCTCACCTTGGCCCGCAGCACGGTGCAGCGCAGCTCGCTGCAGCTCACGTCGTAGCGCAGCTCGAACTCCAGCGTTCCCAGAGCGGCTGAGGAGACAGAGAGGAAGAGGAGGATGAGGAAGATAACAGCAACATCTGCAACCAGGCAACCCAGAAACCTCCAGCGGCAACGTGAAGTTCTGGGATTCACAGTTCAGGAACGCTTCAGGTCCTAAACAAAGTAACGGCTCACCAACCGCTGGGACAAAATGTATTTTTTATTGATTATTTTCTTTAGAAGCAGTGAAATGAGCCACACAACAGAGTTTTGAGAATTTAGTGTTTGATATGTTTAACCTCAAATTGAAAAATCTAAGATTTATTTTGGTCAGGAAGACGCTCTGTCACAAACGTAGCGACTTTTATGGGACAACATGACATGTTACAGTCATTAAAGCACCATCAGGTCACAGGGTCACAGTGACATCACTTCGCTGCCGCTCAGCTCATCCTGATGTTTTCACACAAACGGCCATCTTGGTGTCGGCAGGACGACTGCCGGTCCAATGAGTGAAGACTGGTGAGACGTTCGTGAACGCACCACGCAGGTCATGCAGGAGCCACATGAGAGTGTGAACACTGACTGCTACAGCGTTTCATGCATTCACAGACCACCAGGCGGCGGCTCACTGCTGTCGTCGCTGTCCTCGCTGTTGATGTCCACTGACGTTTCCACGCTGCTGTTCTGGGACGCCGACCCGCCCCGCCCCCACCGGGCCCAGAGCGGGGACAGCAAGTTGGCCCCGCCCACCGACGCCGCCGCAGCCGGGGGGCTGAGGGCCACCGGGAAGGAGGAGGGGATGGGGGACGAGGGGGAGAGGCGGGGGAAGTAGGCGGAGATCTGCTGGATGGGTCTGATGGGACCAGGACAGACGTCTATGGCCATGTGCTCCTGGATGGAGATGCTGAGCTTCTTTCCTCTCTGCACCGTCATAGAGTCTGGAGACACAGAGGACAGACAGGAGGACAGACAGACAGGGGGACAGACAGGAGGGATGGACAGACAGGAGGGATGGACAGATAGGGGGACAGACAGGAGGGATGGACAGACAGGAGGGATGGACAGACAGGGGATGGACAGATAGGGGGATGGACAGATAGGGGGACAGACAGACAGGGGGATGGACAGATAGGGGGACAGACAGGAGGGATGGACAGACAGGGGGATGGACAGATAGGGGGACAGACAGGAGGGATGGACAGATAGGGGGACAGACAGACAGGGGGATGGACAGATAGGGGGACAGACAGGAGGGATGGACAGATAGGGGGACAGACAGGAGGGATGGACAGACAGGAGGGATGGACAGACAGGGGGACAGACAGACAGGAGGACAGACAGGAGGGATGGACAGACAGGGGGACAGACAGACAGGAGGACAGACAGGGGGATGGACAGATAGGGGGACAGACAGACAGGGGGACAGAGACAACTAAGCTTTACAATCTACCGTTAGCAAAATAATGTTGAGGCTTTGGACTCCAGAGGAACCATGACTCTCACTTGGACCAGAACCTTCCAGTTCCAGGTACAACAAGGACCAGATCACTGCCTAAAGGTCAAAGGTCAACAATCAGAGAGACAATAGCCTCAATGGGACAGATCCAAGACCAGAACTACAGCTGACCCAAAATAACCCAAAACATTCGCAAAAAAATGTTCTGGTAGCTGATGAGTCTCTAACCCGTCAACGCGAGGCGTTCAGGGGCCCCGTCAACCTGCCGCGAGGCGTTCAGGGGCCCCGTCAACCTGCCGCGAGGCGTTCAGGAGTCCTGTCAATTCATGCATTCGATTTTCTTCCCTCAGCACAGAGAAATGTTTCATTGTGGACAAACTATAAATAATGACAGAATTCAGAGTTTTCTGACTGAATGTTTCTGTTTATGATTTATTTATAGATTTTCCTCATGCGTCTCCAGCATCTTTCTGTTCGGTCAGCGTGAGACGAAACGATGCACCAACATTTAAAGCTTCGCTTTGAACCCAGGCTTTTAGAAAATGGCTTCGGCTTTGATGTTTCTGGAACGGCGGAGCCGATCTGCCCACAGATTCTCCGTCTCATTCAACACGCTCCTGGAAGGAAGAGGATTTACTGCAAACTTCCTGCCTGCGTCTCCTTGGGATTCAAATCCTCCTCCCACATCATCATTCAGTCCAACCAGCCGCTGCACAGCAACACGGCCTGCTGGAAGCTGATCCACCGAGGAGGACGGCAGGATCCGTCCCTCACATTTATGGAAAGATGAGCAGAAAATACAGCTATTCATATTTAACATGAAGGGAAAAGCTTCAAAAAACAAATCCAGTTCAGACTCCAGGAAGGCTTTAACGTTTCCTAATTCTGTCCCTGCAAGCAGGAAGTCCGGATGTCCCTGAACACACCACCACTTCCAGCCTGAGAATCCAGAAGTGTTTTCTCTTTAGTTTCAGGAACAGATGCAAAGCGCAGATCTGATCTTCATAAGCTGCTGGAATTAAATAAATACATGAGAGTCTGACGTTTTAACAAAAAAAGGTCAAATGTCAGACAGGAACATCCAATCAGATGACATAATCACCTGATTCTACTGTGCTGCCTCTGGACCCTCAGTCAGGCACCCTAACCCAGGCCACGCCTTCCTGGAGGCCACGCCTTCCTGGAGGCCACGCCTTCCTGGAGGCCACGCCTTCCTGGAGGCCACGCCTTCCTGGAGGCGTGGCCTGAATCTAAATTTGCCCATCAATACGTAACGATAGCCAGGCTAGCGCTGAACACTAACTATGAAAAAGTTGCCATGTTAATCCAGACTGAGTCTCTGATCAACTGTTAACAGCGGAGCTGCTAGGCTAGCACTGCTTTAGCCATGCAGGTTGTTCTTCCTGAATGTGTCTTGGTGCATGTTGCTGGTAAATCAGAGGCTTTGATGATTAAATTGTGAGAAGGTCTCAGCTGTTGCCCGTCTAGGCCTGTAGGTGGCGCTTTGCAGCTTCCAGGCAGATTTTATGTTTTAGTTCTGGTTCCTGCAGAGCGCCAACCAGAACCAGAACACAAACGTTTTAAAGAAACTTTGAGGCTCATCCTGGTGCTGGAGCGTTTTCATTTTCTGGATAGAGGAAATATTACAGCAGTTATCCAACGCAGTGGAGGAGCGGCTTCTCCTCACATGCAGGTTTCCTGTTCAGAACCTTCACTTAACACATTCAGGAATTTACCTAGAATCCTGTTTTCATTGAATGCATCAGCTCAGTTTTATGTAAACCGATCATCGTTTTCCCTTTGAAGCAGATGAAGTTACATAAAGCCAGCAGCTCTTCTGTTCCCATGCAGCACTGACACAAATCTACTGTAAATTTAATGTATCTCAGCAGAGGCTCCTGCAGTGCAACAGTGAGAAAAGTCCTGCAGATCTTCCTGCATGTGTCACTTTCTAAAGCTGAACAGAAAAAAGCAACAATGTTCAGAGAAGTTCAATCCAAAGCTGCAGAGCAGAGAGGAGCTGCTTACCTTTAGTAGAGGGAGAGGAGAGAGAGAGGAGGAGATTCCTGCACAAACAAGACCGAGGCTCTGCACTAACAGGTGGAGAGACGGGCAGCGAGGAAGAGGAGGTGGGGGAGGAGGAAGAGGAAGAGGAGGAGGAAAAAGAGGAGGAAGAGGAGGAGGAAGAGGAGGAGGAGGAAGAGGAGGAGGACTCCCTGAGTGATCCACTCCTCCTGTCTTCGTCTCGCTGCTCCAGATTCTGATATTTCTAATATTTCGTTGCTCAGCTTCACGTTCATCTGCAATGTCCACAGCGATGAAGCTCTTCCTTTAATCACATGTATTACCTCCCTCCCCCCCTCCTGCAGTGGGGGGGCAGCAGAGTACAATAATGTGCCAACAGCAGCATCTGTCTTTCTGCTCCTCTGTATAATTTGAGCTTAATGATGCCTAATGATACATGTGTGATCCAACACACCATCACACAGGAAGGGTGAGGAAGACGTGCCCTCCTCTTCCTCAGCGGTGTCCCTGGGTGAAGGATCTTCCTCCTGCTCCTCCTCCTCTCCATCCGCCCCTCAGCAGCAGCTCGGCCTGCAGGGCGACTCCTCATCAGATGGAAGAGTTTCCTGTTGCTTTGCTAGCTGCTTTCCAACTGACTCCTGTTTCTTTAGGGGTGTCAGAGTAGAAGCAGCTATGTGAGCAGGCATGTTCTCTCCTAGTAATTTAGCTCATTTTTCCTTTAGCTCCTTCTGCTAACTTTGAAAACATTCAACTAATTTAGCTTCCTCTAAGTTAATTTTTACAAATAAATTCTAGAGTTCGCTTTTGAGGCTGTTCTAACACACTTTTCTTCTTCGTGATCTTTATTAGCGCTTGGCAAGACGTTAGTGCCCATTACCGCCACCTGGTGGAGGCTTCAGACAGTAAAACATGTTTTGTTCTGTTCCAAATATTCTGTTGAGAAGAAAATTATTGTGTAGATTAAATAAACAAGATATTTTGGACAAAAATTCTATTTCTGGATATTTTTGTTTTTTACTGAAATACCTTAATAAAACATGAAACACTTACATGAACAAACAGCCTGGCTTTAAACACAAACATGCAAAAACCCACATGAATAGTTTTGAGATCCTCATGTTCTTTCCTGGTGGGTATCAACATACTTTAATTTAGCATTAGCTTCTGCTACATACTGTTAATACAGCATGTTAGCTTTTGCTAAATATAATTGTACCATAGTGGTTTAACATTGTCTCCTGGTAATTCCTGTGTTGGTTCAGTACTTTAGCATTAGCTTCTGCTAAAAGCTGTGTCGGTTTAGCATCCGTGTTTAGTGCTTCAGGGTTAGTGCAGCTAGCTTTATAGCTAGCGCGCTGTCGGCTTGTGAAGGTCTTCCAGACCTTCAGCTTCATGGAAAATGTTGTGAAAAACTTTATTTGATTCCTCACAGCATAAAAGTCCAGCTTCAGGTCCAACAGAACCAGAACCTCAGGAGAACCTCCTGGTAACGTCTCCTCAGCACAAACTCAGAGCTCTGGGCTCTAGGTAAGCTACTGGTTCTGTTGGTTCTGTTGGTGGTTCTGCTGCTGACCCAGTGTTCACTCCAACTCACCGAAACACGATGTGGAGCAGCACAGCAGCAGAACCGGGCCCTGCAGGCAGATCTGAACCAACACGTAGAAATCCCTGAGATGTTTGAGCTCCTTCATCACCGCTGGCTGAGGAGGAAGAAGAGGAAGAAGAGGAAGAAGAGGAGGTTCTGGTTGCGTCTTTTTGCGATTGGTTGGTTTTTAAAAACGAGAATCTTCTCTGGGCTCTGATTGGCCGGCTGCGGTGGCCTGATCAGCTGACCATCTGAAGGGTCTGTTGGATTTGACCTCCTGACCTGCTGCAGCACATTAACAGGTTCATGTTTGACCTGCTGCAGCACATTAACAGGTTCATGTTTCCTGCTGCAGCACATTAACAGGTTAATGTTTGACCTGCTGCAGCACATTAACAAGTTCATGTTTCTTGCTGCAGCACATTAACAGGTTCATGTTTTCTGCTGCAGCACATTAACAGGTTCATGTTTCCTGCTGCAGCACATTAACAGGTTAATGTTTGACCTGCTGCAGCACATTAACAAGTTCATGTTTCTTGCTGCAGCACATTAACAGGTTCATGTTTTCTGCTGCAGCACATTAACAGGTTCATGTTTCCTGCTGCAGCACATTAACAGGTTAATGTTTGACCTGCTGCAGCACATTAACAGGTTCATGTTTCCTGCTGCAGCACATTAACAGGTTCATGTTTTCTGCTGCAGCACATTAACAGGTTCATGTTTCCTGCTGCAGCACATTAACAGGTTCATGTTTCCTGCTGCAGCACATTAACAGGTTCATGTTTTCTGCTGCAGCACATTAACAGGTTCATGTTTCCTGCTGCAGCACATTAACATTACAGGTTCATGTTTCCTGCTGCAGCACATTAACAGGTTCATGTTTCCTGCTGCAGCACATTAACAGGTTCATGTTTCCTGCTGCAGCACATTAACAGGTTCATGTTTCCTGCTGCAGCACATTAACAGGTTCATGTTTCCTGCTGCAGCACATTAACAGGTTCATGTTTCCTGCTGCAGCACATTAACAGGTTCATGTTTCCTGCTGCAGCACATTAACAGGTTCATGTTTGACCTGCTGCAGCACATTAACAGGTTCATGTTTTCTGCTGCAGCACATTAACAGGTTCATGTTTTCTGCTGCAGCACATTAACAGGTTCATGTTTCCTGCTGCAGCACATTAACAGGTTCATGTTTGACCTGCTGCAGCACATTAACAGGTTCATGTTTGACCTGCTGCAGCACATTAACAGGTTAATGTTTGACCTGCTGCAGCACATTAACAGGTTCATGTTTGACCTGCTGCAGCACATTAACAGGTTCATGTTTCCTGCTGCAGCACATTAACAGGTTCATGTTTCCTGCTGCAGCACATTAACAGCTTCATGTTTGATCTGCTGCAGCACATTAACAAGTTCATGTTTTCTGCTGCAGCACATTAACAGGTTCATGTTTCTGCTGTTAACAGGTTCATGTTTTCTGCTGCAGCACATTAACAGGTTCATGTTTTCTGCTGCAGCAGGAAAACAGGAAACCAACCTTCCTGTTTCCTCTGACGTTGCTCTGCTGTGATGAAACTGACGCTGCTGTAGAATCTGCAGCTTCGTCAGTCGATGGTCAAGAAGCAGCTGTGAAGATGATCAGGGTCAGGAGGTCAGGAGGTCAGGAGGTCAGGAGGTCAGGACTATGAGAAACCTGCAGCTGTTGCTGGTTGGTTTCTAGAAAGCAGTTCCATGTTGACAAACAGCTGGAGAAAAACATTCAAATGTTTCTGAATCCAATAAATGTTTTGAGAAAAGATGCATTGATTATCTGTTGCTTTCTGTTTCTGTGGATAATAAAACTTTAACTCTCAGATTTACCTGAGAAAATAAATTCAGAAATGTGTAAAGAGCAAAAGCAAAGCGGGAGATTCAGAGCTGTAAAAATAATTTATGAAGATAAATGTTTTATTTCTAAGTGCAGCAAAAACTAAATTACAATTTTGGTAGAAATTTGGTGAAAAACAAAAATTAAACTCTTGATTGTAAACTGAATTTATTTGTGGAATAAAACAAAGAGTTTCTTCATGTTTCTCTTCATGATTTATTCCTGGATTTGATGGTTAATTTGCTGGTTTTTATAAGTCAGGAGATAAATTCACCTTTTCTGTCCATGTTAGTGTGGAAACGAGCTGGACGCGTTTCTGACGCACCAGGAGGAGGAACCAGGAGGAGGAGGAGGAGGAATCGGGAGGAGGAGGAGGAACCGGGAGGAGGAGGAGGAACTTATAAAAAGTCACCCGGAGCAAGCAGAAAAACAAAGCAGCAGCAAAACCAGCACAGAACCGAACCGAACCGGTCCAGAACAGCAGCCATGAGCCACGTCAACGTGAAGAACCTGAAGCTGACCCAGTTCGAGGAGGAGCATTACGATGAGTATGACCGCTACAACCTGACGGACAAATACTCAGGTGAGGTTCTGCTGCTCTGCGCTTCACGCGGATTCAAACTAACGGTTCTGTTTGCGGCGCAGAGGGTTCGGCCCGCAAAGGCAGAACCAAGAAGGAGGCCAGCGACAACACGAACCGCCAGAACCCTGCAGGACACGAGAGGAAGATCGTGGACAAACTGCAGAACAGCGAGAAAAAGGCCAAAGAGTGAAAGCCGAGGCAGCAGCTGCTGAACGCCGAGAGTCTGCATTGCATCATTTTAATGACGTCAGAAGTAAAATAAACTGAAAAGATTCAAAACTTTCATTTGATGCTTTTATGCTGAACATCTGAGGCGATGTTTGATTTTTCTGTCTTGGTTCTCTGTCTCTCTGTCTCTGTCTCTCTCTCTGTCTGTCTCTCTCTCTCTGTCTGTCTCTCTGTCTCTACCTGCACGCTACAGGTGTTCTAAGCTCCGCCCCTTGAGCCTCATCATGGCAGGTTGTCTGTGGCTTTTTTCCAAGTACAAAGTCAACATTGAATCTGTATCTGGTGCGTCTGGTGAAATGTCACCTCTGGCTTTGGTCAGAAATCTCATTTAACTTTAACCTTTGACCTCTCATACCAGGATATTTTTATCAATGCTTATACAAACATCTGCCGATTTGGAAAGCCTGCTTTATTTTGGGAAACTGGATGTTTATTTAGTCGTTTTATTTGTTGATTATGTCTTTAAAAGTTTAACTGAACAAATTACTTATGAGATCTGGAAAAGCATTTCAGAGCTCAAGTCCTTGTTTCCCGTCCTGCAGCTGCACGAAAACTCTTGATGTTTCCCAGAAAGAGTTTCTGAAATGCTCAGATCTTCACAACTTATTGATCTGAAATATTTCGAAATCTTTGTGTCAAAAAATATTTCAAAAATCCAGAGGATTTTAGGCTTTGATTGTTCCAATCAGCAGTGGACCACTAAGGTGTGTGTGTGTGTGTGTGTGTGTGTGTGTGTGTTGTATATGTGTGTGTGTATATGTGTGTGTGTGTATATGTGTGTGTGTATGTGTGTGTATATGTGTGTGTGTGTGTGTGTGTATATGTGTGTGTGTGTATGTGTTTTTGTATATATGTGTGTGTGTGTGTGTGTGTGTGTGTGTATATGTGTGTGTGTGTGTGTGTATATGTGTGTGTGTGTGTGTGTATATGTGTGTGTGTGTGTGTGTGTATATGTGTGTGTGTGTGTGTGTATATATGTGTGTGTGTGTGTGTGTGTGTGTGTGTGTGTGTGTGTGTGTGTGTGTGTGTGTGTGTGTGAACCCAGGCCCGGTCGGATGGATCTTCCTGGTAATGGACCACGGTCTCCTTGGTGATGGATTGAGATGTTTGGCGCTCCACCTGGTTGACCCTGCGGAGCCGTTGACTCGCTGACCCCTGCAGCTGCTGAGGCTGACCTTTGGGTCGGCGTGCTGCAGAATCCGGACCGGCACCGCGGCAATGCAGCAGCTTGGAGATGCTTGTTTTTATGAGATACAGTTTTATTATTAAAGGATTTTAATCGGATCATAGTTTCTGTTTTGCTTTGTTTGTGTAAATTATCAGTTATATTTTGTGTAAAGTGACCAGAGGAAATTTCTAGTTAGGGAAAAGGATCTTTGGAATGACATGAATAAATAAATATTCCTGAAACATAATAAAACTAGAGACTTTATGTCTATCAAACTAATTTGATGTTTTGCATAATAAACCTTCAATATGCACCTGAATGTGTAAAAAAATTAAAAAGTACAATACTGCTTTTATAATATAATATAGCTGTGTGCACAGAGGAAACGGCGCTGACATGAAATTAAAACATTTACCAACTCTGACCTGAGGCAGGAGTGGTGGCGCTGTTGCCGTTTTGAACCCAACACCCCAAAAGAAGAACTCGATGCTAATCCGAGGTTAGCTCTGGGCTCGGAAACACATAAACAAGCTGCTTGGTGAGTGTTTTAGAAGCTTTCTAAGAAATAATCTGAAAATGTATCAATGTCACTAATGTTTCAGATGATCATATTTATGTAGAATATGCGCATTTGGGATCATTATACGATTAAACACGAACAGCTGCTGCTAATCGCATAACGGCTCGTTAAGTTTCAATATTTTAAATCCCGTCAGAGCATTTTGACCTGATCCGGGTTTCAAATGCTGCTTTACTCTGCAAAGAAAAGAAACATTGGTCATAACTAGAGGTCAGTTAAGAGCTTAAATAATGTAATATTAATCAAATGTGCAGCTCGTCCAGGCGGTGAAAGACCTCTGACCTCCTCTGACCTCCTGTGACCCCAGTCCCTCCGTGCTGAGGTCAATGCGTTCAAACTAAAACTGGAAAAGTGTAAGTTTTCATGTCATAAACGAAGAGAGAAACTAATCTGCTGCCTGTTTCTGTCCCAGTTCTTCCATCAGCTGCAGCAGCATGTCAGCAGATACGAAGATCGCTGAGCTGCTCACTGAGCTCCACCAGCTCATCAAACAGACTCAGGTGAGTTCGGCCTGCTCACCTGGCCGGAGCCCGGAGGAGCAGGGCCAATGAAGCTCCTGTTTGCTGTTTCAGGAGGAGAGGTCACGCAGCGAACACAATCTGCTGAACATCCAGAAGACCCACGAGAGGATGCAGACGGAGAACAAGAGTCAGTCAGGCTGCCGCCGCCATGTTGGCTCAGGCTTCATGTGGGAGCAGGATGGAGGCTCGCAGTCCACCGTTAACCGGAGCTGATGTCCTTCCACTCACGTTTCAGGCTGCAACGCTGTCCAAGAAAGTTTTTCCTTGGACCTCTGACCCTTCCTTTTTATGGGTCAGAGGTCACTGCTGGCCATCTGAAGCTGTTCCTCCAGGACCTTCAGGGTTCCAGGATCTCTCATTTAGCTCATCCTGACTTCACTCTGCCTCCAGCCTTCTCTCCACTTCTCTTGGGAAGCGTTGCGGCCTGAAAAGAGGAGCCTGACTGGCTGTGATTGGTTTCCATCAGGTGTTGCTAACTTGTCCTCTGTCTCCTGCAGCGTCTCCATACTACCGCACCAAGCTGAGGGGCCTGTACACCACAGCGAAGGCCGATGCAGAGGCCGAGTGCAGGTGAAACACTTCCTGTAGTTTGGTGAATCTGGTGAATCTCCTGCTGATGCAGCTGTTCTCCGTCTCCCTGCTGCAGCATCCTGCGCCACGCTCTGGATAAGATCGCTGAGATCAAGTCTCTGCTGGAGGAGCGGCGGATCGGTAGGTCCAATTCCTCTTCCAGTGAGGATCGATCTCCTAGTGCCAGATCTCCTCCTCAGCAGCGCTGCGTGTTTTTGCTCCTCAGCTGCTAAGATGGCTGGAGTTTACAGCGACAGCGACCCCCCCAGGAAGACCATGAGGCGCGGCGTCCTGATGACGCTGCTGCAGCAGTCAGCCATGACGCTCCCGCTGTGGATTGGCAAACCTGGAGAGAGGTACCGCCTGGTGGATCTGGATCCAGAACTTCCCCTGTTGCTACTTTGTAACAATCAGTTCTGGATTAGGGTTTAGAGAGTTCTGATCCTTCAGAAAATGTTTTGACCCTGATGCTAACTTCAGTTAGCCTGTGATGAAAATACAAGCTAACTGCAGTCTCCAGTGTTTCCACCATCTTATTTTACATCTGAATCAAATGTTTCTCAAAGTTGATTGTTCAACTAACTGTGGCTGATTTGACCTCTGACCTCCTGGCTCTCGGACCTCCCCAGCCCCCCTCCTCTGTGCGGCGCGATCCCGGCCAGCAGTGACTACGTGGCCAAGCAGGGCGATAAGGTGGCGGCGCGGGTCAAGGCCGTGGATGGAGATGAGCAGTGGATCCTGGCCGAGGTGGTCAGCTACAACCACTCCACCAACAAGTGAGCTCCGGTCCGGTCGGGTCGGGTCCGGTTTATCCAGACATCATGTTGGTCTGCAAGCAGCTCAGCTTCTCCTGCTCTGCTCTCTCTGCAGGTATGAAGTGGACGACATCGATGAAGAAGGAAAAGAGTGAGTTGGTTTTTGGTTCTGGTCCGGGTTCAAACTGGGCCAGAATCTCTGGTAGCTGAGAGGAACTGCTGCAAGATGGAATCATCCAATCAGAGAGCAGATCTCTGCAGTCGCTCCAGTTTTCAGGGAAATGAATGTCATGTCATCAGATCCCATCATTTTCACGCTAACGCTTCATTGTGAGTTTAGAACAAATTGAACGTCGGGTTTGTGATGCTGACTCCCACCTGCAGGTGGCAGCGTTTCTGCTCCTCTCCCTGGCTTGATGTCCTGAGGCCTCCTTATCAAACACTGAGCAGGTTTCACTCTAAAACGTTTGGACAAATTTAGAAAGAAAACTCTGGATGTATAAAACCTGGTTACACCTGCGCACCTTTCCTCGATTCATCCTGACTTACAGGAAGCAGCTGTAAGTCCCTAACCCTAACCGCCGTCGCCTCCATAAAAACATTTCATGTGAATTAGTAGAAATACCCGGACGTCTCCCTGAAGCAGCAACCATGGCAATGTCTTTGTTTGTAGCACAATAGTATTTATAATAAGTTTATATTTTATTTAAAAGGTGCTTTCAGGTAACATAGGGTCACCTCACAAAAATAATAATACATTTTAAAGACAAAAACTCCAAATGAAAGAATAAATAATAAAATCTTTAAACCTGAATACAGGAAGCAGAACAGAAGCTTCGTTTACAGGGTAGAGATGCTTTCTGTCCACAAGGCGGGTCAGCCGGACCGGAACCGGTACCGGAACCGGTACTGGAACCGGTACCGGTTCAAGTTCTGCTCAGAGTCCCAGGATGATCAGTCTGGATCAATCTAAACGCCAATAAACCAGCAGATCAATATGATCTCTGATCAATGGCTCCATGTTCTCCATCAGAGCCACAGTAGCAGCTATACCTGAGATTATTGATCACCTGCAGTAATCAAACCTATTGATCAGCCCTGTTTTCTCTGCAGTGAGAATAAATGAGCCATAGATTCATTCAGACGAATCGTTTTGTCTTTATGAGACAACTGAGCTCAATTCTTATTTACATGTTGTGATGTTTACACATCTTTATGTTATTTATTTTGTGTTGGCTTATTGTCTGAGGAGAAATCGGTTCAGTTTCATCGTTTAAAGAATAAAATATTAGAGTCAGAGGTCACGATGCTTCCTGGTCTAAATGTTCAGCTTTCAGTTTGTTCAGGTGAGATTTGACTCTGTAGTTTATTGTTTTCACGTCAGAGAAAAAGTGCACATATATAAACAAACTTTGACAAAAAGTTCATCTTTAAACATGCCGACTTGAGCGTAAAATATGGCGCCGCACATTTTTGTGTGAACGGCGCTTTAACGTGAGGCCCCAGGTCTGTGGGCAGCAGCATGTAGTCACGTTTCCCATCATGCATCAGTGCAGTTTTGGGAGTTATTCAGCACATGTTGCAGTAATGAACTGGAACACTGAAGGAAATCTACAACCTGCTCCTTTTTCTTCTGTCTGTAGATTTTAGAATCAGTTTAAATGTGAAATTCCTGACGGCGGCTCTGGTTCCCAGCAGGAGGCACACGCTGAGCCGCCGCAGGATCATCCCCCTGCCTCAGTGGAAGGCCAACCCGGAGACCGACCCGGAGGCGCTGTTCAGCAAGGACCAGCTGGTTCTGGCCCTCTACCCACAGACCACCTGCTTCTACCGCGCCCTGATCCACACGCCGCCGCACAGGGTGAGCCTCCAGCAGCACACGCCCTGGAAACCAGCTGTTAAAGGGCCAGCATCACCCAAATGTTTTTGATCTTGTTAAGAAGTTAGAACATCAGAATGTTTGAGGAATCCTTTAATCTCCATGGCAAAGAGCAGGAGCTTCTTAAAGAGACAGACGACCAATTTCAGCATGTTCAATTAGGAAGTCAAATTTCTCTAAAGTTGTATTAGATGTGTGTGTATATATACATATAAATACCAACTGAAGGTCACATAGTTACCACATAGTACTCTAAACTGGCGTCGGGTGCCTCAAAGCCCGGCGCTGGCCCTTTAAATGAGCTCCAGGTGCAAGCACTCCAGGTGTGAAACGTTTTTCTGCAGCAGATTTCATAAACTGAGCCGCCGGCTGACCTCAGCGTGTCGTTGTGCAGCCGCAGGACGACTACTCGGTTCTGTTCGAGGACACGTCGTACGCCGACGGATACTCCCCGCCGCTCAACGTGGCGCAGCGCTACGTGGTGGCCTGCAAGGAGAACAAGAAGAAGTGAGGCTGCAGGCGACGGAACAAACTCAATGTTTCCATGGAGCATCACCTGCTGGCCAGTGCAGGAACTGCACGGCGGAGAGTCACTTTTATTTACATGTAAATTGTTGCACAAAATGTCCAGATTTAACTTTGTTCTCATGTCTGCATTGAAGCTTTCTGATGTTTTCATATGAAACATTTTAAATAAATAATTTCATCAGGTTTCTGACATGATGCAACATGGAGGTCGTCTCTACAGGAGCTGCTTCTTACGTTTCTTTGTTCTTATCTTAATATTTCCTATGATTAACTTTTGTACATAATAACATAAGATTCTGAATAAAATTTATTAGTAATTATTTTAGTGATTCAGTTCAGAAACTCGTGTTTCAGCGTCAACTTTTTCTCAACAGAGCAAAACTAATTATTGACAGAAATGCTGGAAAAGCCTGCGACAGACTGGCGACCTGACCAGGTGATCTGACCAGGTGACCTGACCAGGTGACCTGACCAGGTGATCTGACCAGGCGACCTGACCAGGTGATCTGACCAGGTGACCCGACCTCTCGCCCGGAACGCAGCCAGACAGGCAGCAGCACCTCCTGACCCCGCGAGGGAGAGGGTGGTCAGAAAATGGATGGATGTTATGGAGACCAACCAGCAGGCGGGAAGCCGCTGAAGCTTCACACACAGCTGTGTCTAACGGTATTCAGAGGAAGTTGAGTGGAAGGAAAAAGTGCAAAACAGCAGGGACAACTTCAGCATGAAGAAGATTTTCAATAAAAATCCATTTCATTTCATTGGGTTTGGATCAGAACTGGAAACAGACCTCAGATCCAACACAAGCTGCAGCTGTCCCACCTCAGAACCAGAGACATCAGAACCGTCTCACCTGGACCAGGAGAGCCAGAACCTTCTGGCCTCAGTGTCTGGAGGAAGAGTGGACCAGAACCACTAACTTGGTCCAGGGTGGAGATGATTCCTCACTCATTGCTCCATAATCCTGACCCTACATCTGACCCTAACCGCAGACACAATGAAACATTCAGATTCACATTCTAAGACTCAAATCTTTCCAAGAACGTTCAGCAATTAAAAAACTGGCAATAATTATTAAAATTCAAAACCCTTCCCTTTCCGCGCTGCAGTTTGAACTGATGGTAGCTTCAGGCTACCTGGGAATCCTGAGCACCTGGGCATTAATGCTGGATTAGCAAACACTGCGCCCAGGACCCCACGGGCCCCGCGGCCCCACCCACGGTTCGTCTATAAAACATCTGAGTTATCTGAGGAACTACAGCTGGATTTAGAAGTATTTCCCTCCGCGTCTAATGAATCGAAATATTAGACGAGTTTCGTATTTTAATTGCTAAAATACATGAACGTTTCGACATCATTTTAGTTTATGAAGATAAGCTAATATAGTTACTTCCCAAAAGCAGCGCCGCGAAGGTTCTGTCACAGAACATATTCTCCGACAGTCCGTGAATGCAGCACCAGCAGAAACCATCATGGCGGACGCGGTGAGTGTTTTCGAGCAGCGGGAAACGCGGCGGCCTTTAGCGCCGCGTTTCATGATCCAAACGAGAGAAAGTTTCCTCTGAGGCTCAGAACCAGAACATTAGCGTCGCTACATCCAGTTTTCAGAACAAGTGTCTTTTATTAAGGGCTCTAATAAACAGGAAGTGACTGATAATCAGGCTGTTTAATGTCGCTTCTTACCTTTTTAACATGTCATACTCTGATTTAAAGCTTTGCGCTGATTGGTTCAGTCTGGCGCATAATCATGAAATAAATGACGCTGATTAAACTCCGCGAAAAGGACCCGCATGTTAATGTCTGCTTCACGGCCCGTGATGCAGTTCGGTTCCGATCAGCCTGAACCGAAGCGTCAGCGTTTTGAACGCCCTGCTCTGTTGTACAGGACAGTTTGGACCAGATTTAAGTCCTGGTTCACCTGCAGAACAAGCCCACATCACCTTCCCTCCACCACCCAGGCTGCAGGTGCCCTAACCCTAACCCTCAACCCTGACCCCTGACCCTAACCAGGCCAGAAGTGGTGAAAGTAAAATCAGCTCTGCAGAAACTCTGGAGGATTTAACGACACTCTCAGAGTCATTCAATGCATCCATCTTCTCCAGAGCAGCAGCTGATCAGAACCGTCCTCATGAGGTCCAGGTTCTGGAGGTCCAGAACCTCCAACTCCTCCTCAATCTGACCTCTTCAGTTCCTGTCATGTCTTCAGGTGTCCAGCAGCAACCGCCAGCCTTCAGCCAAACGCAGACGCCTCAACCCCGCCGCCATCGTCCCCGTCCCCGTCTACTCCGGCAGGGTAAGACGGTTCTGACCCGGTTCTGACCAGTTTCTGACCCCAGATCTGATGGGTTGTGTCTATGTGTCCAGGTGAGCAGCAGTCTGCAGCTGAAGCCCACAGCATGCCTGCTTGGAAGGAAAAGCTTAGGTGAGGCGCTGCAGCAGCGCTGCCGGCCACCAGGGGGCTCCACCTCTCTGACCGCACGCTGTTTCCACCTCTGACCAGATGATGATGGCGACAAGAGCCTGTGGGCGGAGTTTAACCCCCGGAGGCCCGCCTCCACCACCAGGATGGTGGAGCTCAGCGACTCTGAGGAGGAACCGGAACCCGGGAGGTTCCGATCCAAACCCGCAGGGAACCAGCTGTGAGTTGGACGGCGGCTGGTTCTGCTCAGTCCGGACACAGCACCGCTAACGCAGCACCGCTAACGCAGCACCGCTAACGTCTCTGTTTGTGCCAGAGGATACGCTGGCTGTCCGTCGCCGCCGCCGCCTGAAAGCCCGGTCCAGAAGCAGTCCAGCAAGGCCCGGCGGAAGATCCGGTGAGTCTGGTTCTGGTTCCGGTTCTGTTTGGTCCTGGTCCTGTCCGGTTCTGTCTCAGGCCGTCTGTCCTCTGTGCAGTGAGATCAACAAGAAGCTGCGAGCCGTTAGCACCGTTCTGTCTCCAGAGCCTCTGGACCGGAGAACCGGTCGGCGCCGGAACCGTAGGAACCAGAGGTCCGACCCGAACGACGACAGTGATGTTCTCATCATGAGTCCGGCGGACGGGTCCGACTCGCCGCGGGAGATTCCACTGAAGATCCGCTGCCGGACTGACGTCCACAAGGTTCTGGTGCTGCCGGTATGTTCAGAACCAAACAGGTCCAAAGCTGCTCTGTCCTCCAGAATCACGACTGAGTCACATCCGCAGCCTGTGACCCAGTCGTGGTTCTGGTTCAGAACCACGTGGTTCAGACCAGAACCCGGTCCTGATCCACGGTGGTTCCTGGGTCGGTTCTGTGGAGGACAGTTTGAGTCCGATCGGACCGGAAGTGTGACCCAGTTTGTGGCGGTTCTGTTCCAGTCGACCCGGCTCAGTGAGGTGTTGGGCCGGCTGGCCGCCATCCTGGAAGTCCCGCCCCCTCGCCTGCTGCTGCTGAGGGACGAGCTGGAGCTGCCGGCCGGCGCCACCGTGGCCCAACTGGGCCTCGGCATCGCAGACATCTTGGGTGAGTCACGTGACCTCCGTGGACCGGACCGGACCAGAGTGGACTGGACTAGAGTGGACTGGACTAGAGTGGACCGGACTGGCAAATAATCGGATCAATAACACAAAGGATTTTGTGTTTCAGTTTTAGCTCAGTCAGTTTCTCAGTTTAACAAAATTTAATAAAAATGTTATTTTGTGAGTTTTAGTGAACAATAATCAGGAGATGGTCCGATCGATTGGCCACCGATCGTAATCGGTTGATTTCCGTGAGCAAGTGCATGATCGGTGATCGATCAGTGTGATCGGTGATCGATCAGTGTCATCGATCACAAGACGTGACTTCCAGCCTGGTTGGTTGCAGCTGATCTCCTCCGTCCTTCTCGCTGCGCAGCAACGTGTGATTAGCGATTAGCATCACAAAGCTAAACCAATAATTGAAGCTGCGGAGGGAGACGCTGGTTCTGGCTGGTTCTGTTGGACCGCCGCTGCTGATCTTGCATACGGCGACCTCTGACCCCGAGAGCTGCAGCCGGAACTGAAACGGGTTTTAGTCTGTAACCAGGTTGCTGTGTGTTGCTGACTTCTGACCAGGTGCCTCTAGAAAATGAGATCCAGATCAGAACCGGGCCTACCGGGTCAAACAAAGGAAATAAAAACAGAAAATGTAGTAAAATAATTTTTTGTGTGTAAATTAGATCAATTTATTTCAGATCATTTGTTCGTTTTCCCAGATAACATCCTGACCCGTAGAACCTCCTGACCCATAGAACCTCCTGACCCATAGAACCTCCTGACCCGTAGAACCTCCTGACCCATAGAACCTCCTGACCCATAGAACCTCCTGACCCGTAGAACCTCCTGACCCATAGAACCTCCTGACCCGTAGAACCTCCTGACCCGTAGAACCTCCTGACCCATAGAACCTCCTGACCCATAGAACCTCCTGACCCATAGAACCTCCTGACCCGTAGAACCTCCTGACCCATAGAACCTCCTGACCCGTAGAACCTCCTGACCCATAGAACCTCCTGACCCATAGAACCTCCTGACCCATAGAACCTCCTGACCCGTAGAACCTCCTGACCCGTAGAACCTCCTGACCCGTACCAGAACCTCCTGACTGTCTGTTTGCTGCCAGAATGTGTGGTGATGTCATCAGAGGAGCAGAGCTGCAGTGACGGCGGCGGCTGCAGCAGCGGCGGCTGCGTCAGCGTGAAGCTGCAGAGCAGAGACAGATCTTCCTCTCAGCTCTTCTTCGTCCACAGAGTTCGTACTCCTCTCCCTCATCTTCATCCTCTGTGCCGTTGCGTCCTGACTGTGAAGCGCCTCCTCTCCCACCAGGAGGCGCCGCTGGGCTCCGTGTTCTCCCAGTACCTGTCCCGGCTCCCCGCCGGCGCCCGCGGGTCGGTCCGGTTCCACTTTGACGGCTCCAAGGTGGCGGGCAGCCAGACGGCGGCGCAGCTGGAGCTGGAAGACGGAGACATCATCGAAGTTTGGACCTGAGGCTTCGCCGCCGGCTCGGTTCTGTTGGGCTCAGAAACCATCAAACCCCTGGCGTCCAGTTGGTTCTGACTCCCGGGGTTCTGGTCTTTCTGCAGAACCACAAGTTTACCAGATTGTGTTATAAATAAAGATTCATCCTGCTAATGGCTCATAGCAGAGCTAATCATTAGCTTAGCATTTTTGCTAACTTTAGAAACGTTTAGCTGGCTTAACGTCCTTAAGGTCATTTTTCAAGTACATTTTTTAGCTTTAATTTTAATTCTTGGCCGTTTTGTAAACCTTTACCTAAAAAACGTTCAATATATGTCAAAGTTTTGGTTAATTCTTCAAATAAATGTTTATATTCCTGCTCTTATTTTGAAGTGATTGTTTATGTTGCAATTCCATTTCTTTCTTTTCAACTTACTGAGCAAATAGTAATTATGCAATAAATGAAAGGGTTATTACATAAACCCTGGTGATCAACGCAGGTTAAATTTGGCACTTTAGCATTAGCTTCTGCTAACTGTCATGGTGTTGTTGCGCTTCAGTGTTAGCATAGCTAATGTCTGATTAGCGCTCCTGGGTTGAATTCAGAGCTGGTTCCATTGTTAGCACTGAGCTGATCAAACAAAGTTCACTGATTTAATCCCTGTGATCATTGTTGGATATTTAGCTGGTAAATAGTTCAGGCTGCAAGAGAAACGATTCTGATTCATTCACAAACTTACTTCCTGATTGTATTATTTATTTTGCCACTGTTGTATTTCTGAATCATTGTCTGAATGTTAAATACTGATCTGCAGTCTGGAGACAACAGTGTGACTTTTTATGTACTTTTTATTCTTCATTGAATTTTTTTCATGTACTTTGAGTCTGTAATAAATCTACGTGTCTAAAATAATGGAGTCCTGTTTGTATTATTATTGTGACGCACTACATGTTGCACAGCATCCCGTCATTGAATCCTGAGTATTTTCCAGCAGGCTGAATGTTTGACACGTTTTCATTGAAATGTTTCGTCCAGCAGGAACTAAACATCTGATGTCGTTTGTTTTTATCTCGGTACCGTCAGGATGAATGTTGGGGGAACTTTCTGGTCCAGTAAACGTCATACAGGTCAGGTGTCTGTGATTTCCGGTCCGGTCACGTGACCCGCGGGTCATGTGAGCCCCGCAGCGGAAGTCGCTCAGCTGGATGATGGCGGCGGCGAACAACTGACTTTTGTAAGCGCGTCGGAATTAAAGTGTCCAGTTTGCTCAGATTCCGGAGGAGTTTCCGCTGCAAGGTGACAACATGAAGGCTAACTGAAGGTGAATTGAGCTCCTGACTGGAAGCTTGAGCAGAACCGCTGATTCATCCTGCAGGTAAGCAGCGTCACCAGGTGGGGATGAGCTGCTTCAGCTCTCCTGCTTTTTGGTTGATGTTTTGGAGCCGAATTAGAGGGAACATGTCCTGCAACGTTTCAGGTCCGGTTTCAGTCAATAAAAATAAACACCGAACTTTCTGCGAGGGAAAGTCCTAAAATCTGGACACATTTTGTTGAAGTTTGGTGCGTCAGAAAACAGCAGATCTTAAGTAGAAATGCTGCTAAATGTGGCGCTTTGGTGTAGAAAACACATCGGAATCCTCCAGAGCAAATATTTCCCCTTTAACGTGCATCACAGTCCTGCCAGCAAACAGGAATCTGGATCGTCCCGGTTTCCCCACAGGCAGCAGATTAAAGACAGAAAATCTGAACCTTCCTGGTTTCAGGGAGTTTGTGGAAGCTGAGCAGGAGGATCCCCTCATTGGCTGATGATCTGGTGATGTCACCTTGTCAGCTCTTCACTCTGATGTTTTACAAATTCCAGTTTCTTTCCTCTTTCAGTGTCAGATGAAGGTGAAACTGCTTCACTTTTCCATGATTTCTGTTTCCGTTGTTCTTCACGAAGGGCGGACTGATCTCTGCTGTTACCATCTGGACTGAAACGTTGACACCATGTCCTGGTGTCAACGGGGGGGAAAGCCTTTTGGAGGGGAAAGCCTCCAAAAGGCTGGGCCTGATGTTGCTCATCTCACTGAATTGAAGGAAACGTTGCTTATTCTGGAAATGGAAGCATCTGGATGTGCGTGCTTTGACTAGTCAGTATCATGGTTTCCCCCGTTAGCCTGCCTGCCGTTTCCAGCTGGTTTCTTCCTTCATGCGGTGACCATCAACTCGCTGCGGCTCTTCCAGTCTCAGAGTTTCTGTCGGGTCAGAAAAGCAAGTGGACGTCCGTCTTTAGCTTGTCTTCCTGTTGAAAACCGGATTCATATTCGCAGACGTCACATGACTGCTTACAGCGTTTCAGACTTTCTCTGCTGCCGGAGCAACGGGTCCGGACGATCAGCAGAACCGACTCTTTTAAGTCTTACTCTTAAGTCTCTTTTTTCAGTTGAGGGAACTTTCTAGAAGCAGATCTGGTGAATGAAAACATGTTAGAAACAGTAAAAGTAGCAGACAGTGAGACGGGTTGTGTTCTCCTCAGCTGCAGCCATGTCTCTGGGTCAGCACTGGACCGACTCGGCGCCGCTCTTCTCCTCCGACAGCGAGGCCGAGGCGGCGGAGGAGGGGGCCGGGCGGCGCGGGGGCGGCGAGGAGGAGGCGGCCAGCGGCGTGTCGGGCGTCCGCGCGCGCCTCATCGTCTGCATCCTCTGCTACATCAACCTGCTCAACTACATGGACCGCTTCACCGTGGCAGGTAGGAGAAACCCTAACCCCTGACCCCTAACCCTTTAGGCAGGGGCCAGAAATCAGGAAGCAGTCTGGATTTATTTCAGTTACTTTCAGGTTGTTTCAATTGAAGCAGAAAGGTAGAGCTGCTGGTCATCACTGTCAGATCCTCAAAAACGTTTTAGTCCAGATGCTTCAACATTAACCGGGGTCAAAGGTCAAACCTAAACAATCTGAAGTCCATCAGGCTCCAGAGAGGAAGATTATTCCCAGGAGGATAACATCTCATAGCGTGCCCAACATTCCCAGCAGGGGTGGCGAATTCCACCAGCCCGCTAATAGTGGAGCTAATTTTAGCTTAGCACTTTTGCTAACTTTGAAAATATTTAGAGCACTTAGGTCTCAGTTAATTTTCTAGAAAAAATCCAAAGCAAGTTTTCTTGGTTTTTATAGTTGTTCAGTTGGATAAAGTTCAACATGTGTGCTACAGTCTTCATTGTGCTCTTATTTTGAAGGGGGTAAAGCCTGTTTCCTCTCAGTCTCTTTTTCCCAGTTACTTCATTTAAAACCAGAAACAGACAAGAACAAATTAAAACCCACAGCAGGACATAAACATGCAGGCATTATAGAATGTGCTGCGTGGCGCAGGGGTCAGCAGGGTTCAGCACGCTCCACGTTTAGAGGCCTCAGTCCTCGACGCGGACGTCGCGGGTTCGACTCCCGGCGACCTTTGCCACATGTCTTCCCCTCTTTCCGGTCTGCCTGCTGTCGAAAAGACGAGCCGCAAAAACTCTTCGGAGAAAAAAATGATTAAGCAAAAAAAGAATGTGTCAGAATTAAGATGCTTCTTTCACATGTGATTGGAATTGATCTTAGCGTTGTAGCGTTAGCTTGGAGCGAGTCATCAACAGAACAATGATCCCGACCCCCCCATCCCGGTTCCTCACCCACCTGGACCCACCTGGATCCAGACCTGTGAGGAGTTAGTTGCCCGTTCCCGTTGCTGTGCTGCAGTGTTTTGCTTCCTGGACTAATGTCTCCTGTGGACCAATCACTGCCTCCTTCCTCCAGGAGTTCTTCCGGACATCGAGAACTACTTCCAGATCGACGATGGAAAGTCTGGCTTGTTGCAGACAGGTGAGACGGCTTTCCTGGTCCAGAACCGAATGGATCCTGGTCCGGTATGGGGTCGGGTTCTGGTCCAGATCTCTGGGTTCAGCCCGGGGCTGTGGACCCGGCTCGGTCCAGATAGCGGACTGGTTCTGGATGGGCTCCATGGACCTGAAACTGTTTGTTCAGTTTTTATCTGCAGCTACATGGTGCTGGCTCCAGTGTTTGGTTACCTTGGCGACAGGTACAACAGGAAGTACATCATGTGCGGCGGCATCGCCTTCTGGTCCGTGGTGACCCTGGCCAGCTCCTTCACCCCCCAGCAGGTGAGCGGCTACAGAACCTGCCGGTCCCAGACCCGGTTCCGGTCTCTGACCCGGTTCCGGTTCCAGACCCGGTTCCGGTCTCTGACCCGGTTCCGGTTCCGGTCTCTGACCCGGTTCCGGTTCCGGTCCCAGACCCGGTTCCGGTCTCTGACCCGGTTCCGGTTCCGGTCCCAGACCCGGTTCCGGTCTCTGACCCGGTTCCGGTTCCGGTCTCTGACCCGGTTCCGGTTCCGGTCCCAGACCCGGTTCCGGTCTCTGACCCGGTTCCGGTCCCAGACCCGGTTCCGGTCTCTGACCCGGTTCCGGTCCCAGACCCGGTTCCGGTTCCAGACCCGGTTCCGGTCTCTGACCCGGTTCCGGTCCCAGACCTGGTTCCGGTCTCTGACCCGGTTCCGGTCCCAGACCCGGTTCCGATTCCAGACCCGGTTCCGGTCTCCGGTTCCGGTCCCAGACCCGGTTCCGGTCTCTGACCCGGTTCCGGTCTCTGACCCGGTTCCGGTTCCGGTCTCTGACCCGGTTCCGGTCCCAGACCCGGTTCCGGTCTCTGACCCGGTTCCGGTCCCAGACCCGGTTCCGGTCCCAGACCCGGTTCCGGTCTCTGACCCGGTTCCGGTCCCAGACCCGGTTCCGGTCTCCGGTCCCAGACCCGGTTCCGGTCTCTGACCTGGTTCCGGTTCCAGACCCGGTTCCGGTCTCTGACCCGGTTCCGGTTCCGGTCTCTGACCCGGTTCCGGTCCCAGTCCCTGACCCGGTTCCGGTCTCTGACCCGGTTCCGGTCCCAGACCCGGTTCCGGTCTCTGACCCGGTTCCGGTCCCAGACCCGGTTCCGGTCCCAGACCCGGTTCCGGTCTCTGACCCGGTTCCGGTCTCTGACCCGGTTCCGGTCCCAGACCCGGTTCCGGTCTCTGACCCGGTTCCGGTTCCGGTCCCAGACCCGGTTCCGGTCTCTGACCCGGTTCCGGTCCCAGACCCGGTTCCGGTCTCCGGTCCCAGACCCGGTTCCGGTCTCTGACCTGGTTCCGGTCCCAGACCCGGTTCCGGTCCCAGACCTGGTTCCGGTTCCAGACCCGGTTCCGGTCTCTGACCCGGTTCCGGTTCCGGTCTCTGACCCGGTTCCGGTCCCAGTCCCTGACCCGGTTCCGGTCTCTGACCCGGTTCCGGTCCCAGACCCGGTTCCGGTCCCAGACCCGGTTCCGGTCTCTGACCCGGTTCCGGTCCCAGACCCGGTTCCGGTCCCAGACCCGGTTCCGGTCTCTGACCCGGTTCCGGTCTCTGACCCGGTTCCGGTCCCAGACCCGGTTCCGGTCTCTGACCCGGTTCCGGTTCCGGTCTCTGACCCGGTTCCGGTCCCAGTCCCTGACCCGGTTCCGGTCTCTGACCCGGTTCCGGTCCCAGACCCGGTTCCGGTCTCTGACCCGGTTCCGGTCCCAGACCCGGTTCCGGTTCCAGACCCGGTTCCGGTCTCTGACCCGGTTCCGGTCTCTGACCCGGTTCCGGTCCCAGACCCGGTTCCGGTCTCTGACCCGGTTCCGGTCCCAGACCCGGTCCCAGTCCCTGACAGTGATCTTTGCGGCTGCAGCATTTCTGGGCCCTGCTGCTGACCCGAGGCCTGGTCGGCGTCGGCGAGGCCAGCTACTCCACCATCGCCCCCACCATCATCGCCGACCTCTACGTCAAGGAGAAGAGGACCAGCATGCTCTCCGTCTTCTACTTTGCTATCCCTGTGGGCAGGTCAGCCACCTGCAGCCTGACCTCTGACCTCTGACAATCAGCTTACAGAGAAATTTGAAGTTAATGATTCCTGATTGTTGATGAGAATGTCCCAGATTGTTTGGTTTTCATTATTTACTCAAAGAAGCTGTGAGTAGATTTAGTTTCATTTGTCCTAGAAAACCTGGAAGCTTTGAGAGCCATGAACAAAACGCTGATAACTTCAGCACTGTGATTGGCCGGTCCTTTTGATGACATCACAGGGTCCTGGTCCAATCGGACAGTTATTAGCAACAGACGGTCAGACTGAGCTCCGTGACGATGTGTGATATTGATTGGTGTGTGGTCTTCCTGCCGCCAGCGGCCTGGGCTACATCGTGGGGTCGCAGGTCGGCGTCGTGGCCCAGGACTGGCACTGGGCTCTGAGGGTGACCCCGGCGCTCGGCCTCATCGCCGTCCTGCTGCTGCTCTTTGTGGTTCAGGAGCCGAAGCGAGGCGCCGTGGAGGCGCGGGCCGAGCTGCACCAGACCAGCTGGCTGACTGACCTGCGGGCGCTCAGCAGGAAGTAGGTGACCTCGGGCGGCGGAGCGCCTTGCCTCGCCGCGCCGCTGACCGTCTGTTCTCTGCGCAGCCGGAGCTTCGTCCTGTCCACTCTGGGCTTCACGGCCGTGGCGTTCGTGACGGGCTCCCTGGCGCTCTGGGCGCCGACCTTCCTGTTCAGAGCCGCCGTGTTCTCCGGGCAGAAGGCGCCGTGCGCGGACGAGGCCCACTGCGCCTCCTCAGAAAGGTGGTTCCTCCTGCTCGCCGTCCACCGCCTCCTGGCCCGCAGCGACTCTGACCCGTTTCCTCCTCTGCAGCCTGATCTTTGGCATCATCACCGTCATCACCGGCGTGCTGGGCGTGTTCAGCGGCGTCCAGGTGAGTCGCTATCTGAGGAAGAAGACGCCCCGAGCCGACCCGTACGTGTGCGCCGCCGGCCTGTTGCTGTCGGCGCCGTTCCTGTACCTGGCCATCATGTTCGCTCAGGGAAGCACCGCCGCCACATATGTGAGTTCAGCCGCACACAGCGAGTTCTGGTCCGGTTCAGGTTCTGGTCAGTTTGGATGTTTAAATGAAGGTTTCCGTCAGTAGTCATTGATCGTTGATTATCAGTCTCCTCCTCCGCAGGTCTTCATCTTCCTCGGTGAAACCTTCCTGTCCATGAACTGGGCCATCGTTGCCGACATCCTGCTGGTGAGAACCTTCAGCTGAATGTTCTGCAGATTTTTTGCAGGTCCGATCAGGACCGGACCGTGAGGTTCTCTGGTTCCGGTGATCCTGTCGGTGACCCGGTTTCGTCCCGTCTCTCTCTGTTCAGTACGTTGTGGTTCCGACTCGCCGCTCCACGGCTGAAGCTCTGCAGATCGTCGTCTCTCACCTGCTGGGAGACGCTGGGAGTCCCTACATGATCGGAGTGGTAAGTCCTTCCGGACCGGACCGCACCGGACCGGACCCTGCAGTCAGAAGGTTCTGCAGCAGGTCCCCCTGTTTTACAGTGGCCTAGTCAAAGCCTAACAGCGTCTCTCTGGCGCCGCAGCTCTCCGACTCCCTGAGAAGGTCCGACTCGTTCCTGTGGCGGTTCCGCTCCTTGCAGCTCTCTCTGCTGCTATGCTCCTTCGTCGCCGTGGTGGGCGGGGCTTTCTTCCTCGCCACCGCCCTCTTCGTGGAGAGCGACCGGACCCGGGCGGAGAGCCACGCCCCCGCAGGTGAGCCCCGCCGGATCCACCTGACCGGAACTGGACCTCCTGAGTGACCCGTGGTTGTTGTGCTTCTAGCCGACGAGCCCATCGTGGTTCCGAAGAGCGGGCGGTCCGCTCGCGTGCCAGTGTCCAGCGTCTTGATCTGAAGCCCCGCCTCCCACGCCTGATTGGACCGTCCTCATGAGGAGCCGCTTCATTGGCCGAGACGGAACCGGGGAGCGGTCCGGCCGACCCGCTTGGAGTGGCCTCCAGAATTATGTAGCTGTTTTTATAACGTCGGTTGGGGGTTCTGATGCAGAGGTTCTGACCCGGTTTGGGGCGTTTCTGGATTTATTATTTAAAATTTGCTTTTAATTCATGTTTGATTTTTAGCCTCATTTTTGTTAAAAACTAAATAAAAGTTTATCTTTTATCTTCTGGTGTTTTTATTGGACCATCAGAAGTTCTGATGGTCCTGAGGTCCAATTGGACCCACTTTGGATCAGAACTGTTTCAATAAAGACGATTAATTTTATTTGGCTTTATTTCTCCGAGCAGAATTTAAATACTGTTCTGACCCGGTTCCGTTCGGACCTGGTTCTGTCCTGGACCCGGTTCCGTTCGGATCCGGTTCCATTCGGACCCGGTTCTGTCCTGGACCCAGTTCCGTTCGGACCCGGTTCTGTCCTGGACCCAGTTCCGTTCGGACCCGGTTCCGTTCTGTCCTGGCCCGGCTGGGAGCTGTGCTGATGCTCTGGTTCTGGTCGGGTTCTGCAGCAGCAGCAGGTGCGGCGGCGGCGCTGCTTCCTGTGTCGTGTGGTTTCCTGTCTGTAGGTGGAGGATGTTCAGGCGGTTGCTGCAGCCGCCGCAGCTGATTGGTCGAGGAGAGGTCGGCACTCAGCGCTGCAGAGGAGCTGCAGCAGATCTGCTGGTCGACCCACTCAGCCTCTCCGCAGCGCCGCCGGTTCCGCCCGGCCGTGACTCAGACCCGCAGAGGCTTCGAGCGCCGCCGGCAGCGTCAGGCGCCGCCGACGCCACGAGACTCAGTGAGACGGCAGACATCTTGGAAGATGGTGGCTCTCTGGCTGCAGGAGCTGATCTGAATCTTTGGCGCCGAGTCTCTGAGCTGCAGGTGGGTTTCTTTTGGCGGCAAAACTTTGTTTAGGACGTGCGACTCCCTCAGCACCACTCCGCCTCCGCCGCACCCAAGCGCTGTGTGAACAGAACCGAACACGTTCTGGTTTCCTGTTGATCCGCCGCTGCGCTGACTGCAGCGCCAACGCAGCATCAGAACGGCACCACGCTCCTGTCGCAGGGAGGAGAACAGCATCAGAACCGGGACGGGCCGGTTCTGACCCGGAGGTCAGTTCCTAGGCCATTCAGTTGAAAGGTACTAAACTCCACCTTCAGAAGCGGCTCGCTGTGACCCGGCCTGGTTCTGACCGGTTCCAGGTTCTGGCCTGGTTCTGGCTTTAAGGTAGGCTGACTTCCTGCAGCTGTTTCTGACCCAATCGTGGAACCGGCAGGAAGTCGGAGACTGCTTTACTTTTTATTTCAGCGCCTTCTGATCGGTTCTGCTTCTGAGCGGTTCTGGTTCTGAGCAGTTCTGGTTCTGAGCGGTTCTGGTTCTGAGCGGTTCTGGTTCTGAGCGGTTCTGGTTCTGAGCGGTTCTGGTTCTGAGCGGTTCTGGGTCTGAGCGGTTCTGGTTCTGAGCGGTTCTGGGTCTGAGCGGTTCTGGTTCTGAGCGGTTCTGGTTCTGAGCGGTTCTGGTTCTGAGCGGTTCTGGTTCTGAGCGGTTCTGGTTCTGAGCAGTTCTGGGTCTGAGCGGTTCTGGTTCTGAGCGGTTCTGGGTCTGAGCGGTTCTGGTTCTGAGCGGTTCTGGTTCTGAGCGGTTCTGGTTCTGAGCGGTTCTGGGTCTGAGCGGTTCTGGTTCTGAGCGGTTCTGGTTCTGTTTCCAGGATCATCCTGGGAAATGACTAAAATGATCAATGAGTGAAAACAGAATCATGAGAATCGGATCCGTTTCGATATTCATTTACGATGACTCCGGTGGTTTGGACCCAAAGTGATATATGTGGTTCTGGTCCGGTCCATTACGGACGACACCACAGTCCATGATATGCAGAGAAAGTTGAGTGGAAGGAAAAAGTGTGAGAAACATCTGCAGCAGGAAAACCGGAGCGGATTGTGGGAGACGATGGGAACCTCCGACCCGGTCCGGCCCGGCCCGGCCCGGCCCGGCGCTGGAAGCCGGTTCTGTGTTTCTGCTCAGGATGTTGTGCTGCAGCTCAGCGAACGGTTTGATCTCGGTTTCCTGCCTCGCTTCCTTCCTGACCCGGTTCTGTCAGTCTGTAGCTTTCTGGGTTCAACATGGCTGCCGCTCCAAACAGTAACGTCGGTTCTGACTGTCTGCTGACTTTGGACTCACTGGTTCTGAAACACAAAATGACCAGAACCGTACGGTTGCCATGACGGCCACATGCGGTTCTGATCCAGTTAATGATGCGGTTCTGCTGTGACTCAGAGGACTGAAAGCGGAAAGTTGCTGGTTCTGTTGCTGGAACTGGACCATCCTTGCTCCATTGTTCTGATGGAGAGTCAGCTGGTTCTGGACCGGTCCAGAGTCCAGGTTTGGTTGAACCGGATCAGAACTTCCAGTTTGTGACTTTTAATTCTGAAGCTTTGCAGATTTGAAATTTAACTTTAAACTGGATTCTTGCTGCAGCTGAACTGGACTTTTTCCAGTTTACTCTTGCTCTAAGTCGGTTCTGGATTTGGACCTAAATTGGTTCTAATTCAGTTTGTTTGTGGATTTTTCTTCTTCTTGGTGTCTGAAGTTTTGCGTTTGGCTGAACTGGTTTTCCTCGCCGTGTTACTGGTTCCTCTGCTAGTTGGAAGTTGACGTTTTGGGACCAGTTGGGTTTCGGGTCGCTGCTCTGGTTTCGATGAAAGCTTTGGATCTTGGTTCTGAGTTCATTTAAAGTTGGTTCTGTTGGGTTTGTGTGGAGCGGCTCTGGGCCGGCTTGTCTGGTTAGAAAGTCTGCTCTGGTTCTGGTTCTGCTGGGATCATTTGTTCTGGACCTGCTTCATGCTGATGTCTGAAAGCCATTTGAGATTCAGGAGAAGGAAACTTCTCTACTTCCTGCTGCTGATCGGATCAGAACCATCCGGAGCGACGGCCTGGAGAATCCGCCTCAAACCAAACCTGGAATATTCTGGAATCTTTCCTGGGTGTGAACGGATTGGCAGCCATGTTTCCAGACCCGGCTGGTTTGTGACCAGAACTGAACTGGGTTCAGCCTGAGGTGTTTCAAGCTGCTGAGATGTTTCCAGTTGGTTTGGAGCGGTTGGTTTGGAGCGGTTCTGCATGTTTCAGGAACCGTTTAAAGGACATCGGACCTGGAGGAACAGAAACACCTGCTGTTCGTTCAGACAGGAAAGGTCCCAACCCGGTTCGGTTCCGCTCCACTTCTCACCCACTGAACAGGTTTTTAACTTACTGAGTGATTCACACCTGGATTGGATTTCCATAAAATAAATAGAAACCGATGGAAGACGGGGAGCAGAACCCTTTGGACGGGTCTGGTTGGGACAGAACCCTTTGGTCCGGAGGAAACGGCTGCACAGGGTGTTGTCCAATCAGAGCGTCTCATAGCAGCCAATCAGAGGAACATTTAGTTTCTGATGGGAACTGGACAGAAACTAAAACCAAATCATGTTCAGGGTTCATTTTGACCTGATCTGGGTTCTGCCTCTCTGGTTCAGGTTCTGGTTCTGGTCTACCTGTTCAGCCCGTCTCCTGGTTGCGTTTCGTTCTCAGATGAACGATGGATGTCTCCTGGCTGTCTCTGCTCATGATGGCCGCCGCCTTCGCCGCCTCCGTCCTGCTGGCCGCCGTCTGCTTGGACTGCGGCAACAGAAGTCCTCTGGGTGAGACGCACATCGATACGTGGCAGAGATTACTTCCTGTGGTTTTACAGTCGGACCGCCGAAACCGCGCCGACACCAGAACTGTGTGATGTTTGACGTGTCGTTGTGTGTCTGCAGCCTCCATCAGTCAGACGGCGGCGTCAGAAGAATACGTCGCGTAAGTCTCCTGTCTTCTGACCCGTTTGGTTGCAGCCCAGAAACACCATCAGCGCCACATGAAGACGCTTCTAACGCCATTTCATGTTTCAACTGAAGATCGCGCTTTAGCTTGCACACTTTTCCTTCCTCTCCTAACACAACATTTCTCCGTTCACTGCATTTGTTCTGCCATCGGTTTTCCTGCCAGCTGATTGGTCAGTGTCCTTCTGCCACTCCTCTTCCTTGTCGTAAATCCACTTCAGGTTTTCTGCTTCTTGTTTTTTCCTCTAACTAGCAGATGCTTCCATCATCAACCTGCTAGAAACATCGACTGAAATGGTTTCCTGGCTATGCTAACCTACCTTAGCGGTTAGCTTAGCATACCTTAACATTAAGTTTAGCAAATACATTTTATTAACGCATAAATTCTCCTATGACGGCCGGACGAACAATTCAGAGTCAAGAACTGGTTTTTCTTGAAAACCGATCAATTTTTGCCGATTTGATGCTTTTGACGACATTAAAATGAATCATTTCCATTTCATGACTGAATGAGTTTTAATAACCTGGAAAAACAAAAATCTCTTCTTTCTGTCAGAAGTTCTGGATTCGTCGTCGTCCATCCATGTGAGTCTAAAACATCCAACCATCATCCATCATCTATCCATCCATCTGTCCAACCATCTTCCATCCATCCATCCGTCTGTCCATCTGTCCAACCATCTTTCATCCATCTGTCCGTCCGTCCATCCGTCTGTCTGTCCGTCCATCTGTCCAACCATCTTTCATCCATCTGTCCGTCCATCCATCCATCTGTCCATCCATCTGTCCGTCCATCCATCCATCTGTCCAACCATCTTTCATCCATCTGTCCGTCCATCCATCCGTCTGTCCATCCATCTGTCCGTCCATCCATCCATCTGTCCAACCATCTCTCATCCATCCGTCTGTCCGTCCATCAGTCCATCCATCCGTCTGTCCAACCATCTTTCATTCATCCGTCCGTCCATCCATCCATCCGTCTGTCCATCTGTCCAACCATCTTTCATCCATCCGTCTGTCCATCTGTCCAACCATCTTTCATCCATCCGTCTGTCCATCTGTCCAACCATCTTTCATCCATCCGTCCATCCATCCATCATCCATCCGTCCAAATGATGATGTTTTCTCTCTTGTCGGTCCAGATGCTGGTCAGGCCCGGTTGGACCAGAACTTGGTCCATTCTCCCTCCACCCTGAAGCCTCAGTGAGTGTCTTTTCTGTAAACCAGATCTGAATCTCTCTGGTGTCCGAGGCCCTTCACACTGAAACAAATCTGTTGTCGTTTCTTTCAGCTCGATTCCTGCTGGTCGCGGTTCTGACCAGACACGGCCCTACACACCGACAGAAACCGGTGGGTTGGTTCTTCAGCAGGAACAGATTCTCTTCATGTGGGCTTTTCTCAGCTGATGTTTTCCTTCCTCAGAGAGCAACCCGAGTTACGAGAACCGGGCCCCGGGTAAGAGCCGCCTCTAATCTGAGCCAGATTAGAGACGAAGCCGAGTGGCGGCGGATGTTCTTTATCTGTTCATCTACAGACCACAGCAGGCACATCATGAGAGCGATGGAAACGCTCTGAAAGAACGCAGCCCACTTTCTAATCCTCCTCAGTCTAAACTGAGTTTCAACTCAATTAGCTTCAGTTTAAATCCACAATCTGGATCTTGTTCCTAGTGAGAGGGAGGAAACTAACTGGGACAACTAGTGAACTCACTAGTTCGCTGCTCCTGGTGTGAAACTATCGTCTGTCTACCCTAACAGGCATCATTAACTCGTTTGGGTTAATGATGTCTGTTATTTGGACGGGACTGGGACCGAGTGAGGGACTCGTCAGGTGAGGAAACGGGTCGTTTTGATCCACAGGACATGAGAATCTTTTTCATCTTTGTCCACAGAAATGGATTTTCCCGACAGCGACACTGAAGGCAACGGATACATGTAGGTCTAATCCGATCCAAGTCGTGTTGGTCCAGTCGAGTACCCTCCAGAATCTGACTAGATTCCCTTTTTCTCTGATTTCTGCAGAGAGGTCCTTCCTGAAACCGAGCCAAGCCGAGCCTCCACTCCCAGTTTAGGTACTGGAAACTCTTCAGACCAGAGTTCTGATCCAAATGGACCTCGCTTCATTTTATTCTGATTTGTGAAATGGAGCCCGATATTTTGACCATTAGCCGGAATCAAGAGTGTAAAAAAATGTTTACTCGTCACTGACGTTTCACCAGCTAGTTTTTCTTTGTGTGTAACATTTTCTTTCCATCAAGCTTATTATGGTTCGTTATTGTTTCCTCTAAGAAAATCAATTAACTCCAGATTAATTTACCAAAGTGTGGAGCAAGAAGTTCATTTTAAGTGATTACTGACGGCAAATTTAACACTAACTTTCTACAATCGCTTCCTATGTTGAACGTTTCAACATTTTGGCTACAACGTCCCCAGACAGGATCCAGTGAAGCCGTCACTGGTGTTTCTAATGCTAGCATTAGCATTAGCTGCTTCAAGGCCGCCTTGTGTTTTTCTGACTACCTGCTAGCTTACCAGGTAGCAGGGAGTGTAGCTCCCAAACACTCTCTCACACACACCTGGTCCCCCGACACACACCTGTCCCTCCCACACACACCTGTCCCTCCCACACAAACACACACACCTGCCTCCTGCTGCTTCTTTGTGAACTTTTCCTTCTTACTGGGCTGCAGCAGATAATCTGTTTCTGGTTCGTCTCTCTCATCCTCCTCCAATCATTAGCAACAACTCGCTAATTCTCCGTGCTTCTCCTCCTGAATCTGCTCCAGTCGGTCAGACTCTGTGTGGGAAACAAGATTGATGAATTTTCTTCATGGACTCTGTGCTTTTAGTTTTGTTCCCGCGGTTTTTCCGACCCGCCGCGTCACATTTCCGCTCATTTCTCATTCAGGTTAGCCAATAGCGCCATTTATAATTTCAGAGGAGGGCGGGGAAGACTGGCCAAGGAGGGATTTCATTGGATAAGCCCAATGTCCCTCAATAAAATCAACCAATAGGCTGTCGCGATCTAGAAAAGTACATTTAATATATTTTGTTAAATTGCGAGAGCCCGAGGCTACGGAACCATCATGCAGGAGAGCAAATTAGTGCGCTATCACGTTGTGACGATAATGTTTAGACGTAATATGTTGTATAAACTTGATATTCATCTTGTTTAAACTTGATAGCTTCATGTCCAGGGGGTGGCGGTAGCTTGCTTTTCCTTCAGGCTAACGCCTGCTAGCTGTTAGCCTGGCTGGCAGCCTGCTAGCTGTTAGCCGTTAGGAGTTATACGCACTCTGAACAGGATCCTACACAGAAGGAAACGTTTAGTATCCGATCCTCTGGCTGACGGGCCGGAACCGGGCCGAAGTGGGCTTCCGGTTGTAGCTTCTGATTTGGGAAATGGCTAAAGGCGATTATTACGGGATGGAAGCTTCTGCAGTCATGACGAGGGTTCAGATGTATTTGCTGAACATTTTCTGTTCAGATTTTCTTGAACAATATAATGGCTGAAAAACGGAAACACCCGAAATAAAGCGAAGTCGACAAAAGACAAAACTAGATCCTGTTTAGCATTCTTCAAAATAAAAGACTTCCTCTCTCCAAAATAAATCATGTTTTGCACTTAATTATGTTCCACGTCACCTTTTTGTAATTATGTACAATCAAGTTAAATTCGGTGAATAATAATTATGTAAATGATGCTTAACATATGAGGGTAAATAAGTAACTAATGCAAAATATACTTAACATGTGAGTGTCAATAAATCATCTGTTCTCCACAACAGCAGAATATTTCAAATCTAGCTTGTGAAACGTTTATTTGAATTGTGAAACTTCAGTAATGAGAGCTTTAAAAACCTTTTTGTCTCTGGAACGCATTAGAAATGAAATCCTATCACATTTGCAATATTTACGATTATTTTAACCTTCTGTATTCTTTCATTTCATCTCCTTTCTGTTTTCTGTTGTGGCTTACAGGGAATCATCAGCTGAGATAATATTGTCAACAACTTTTCAGATTCAGATTTATCGTCATGCAGCATAACATGAATAATCTATTCCAGGTCGGAAGTGTCTAAGTATGTTAACTTTTGTAGATTAAAGATGCTACCCAGGTCCTTAATTGGTCGCATCAATGTTATAAAAATGACAATATTGTCAAAGTTCTTGCATGTTTCCCAATCAGTTGCACCTCCACCCTTCTCCTATAAGGAGCTAAATAAAACGTTTTCCAACTTCATTGGACCAGTAGAATCAGACTGTCTCTCTTACGTCTGCATAGTGACAGGGAAGGTTTATAATTACCAAACCTATTAAGAATTTCTGCCCAGATCAGGGCAGTTATGTTTTACTTTACTCCAGACAAACCCAGCATGGCTCAGATTGAGTCCCAGTGGATCTTTATTCATGTGTTCATCAGATAGGAAAGAGTTTATTAAGCAAACAAAAAACCCATTTCTGAAAAATACAATGATGATCTGGCGAAAAGCACTTGATTATTTGGAAGAAAAGCAACAACTATCCCAGTTCTCAGCCATTTTTAGCAGCAGTGATTTTGGTGCAGGTAGAAAAGACCAGGCTTTAAGTCTGGTCTGCTGACGGGTTAGCCAAGGTTTCTCATCTTTTCCCAGGAGTGTATTTATGTCATTTGAAGAACTTAAAAAACAAACGTGATTTTCTTACAAAATATTTCAATAAATATCTCCAAGTTTGGGGTTTAATTTGGTCCAAGCAGCAAAGTCTTGAGCTAGCCTCGCTTTGTATGATGGAGGACCGGCGTCTCTTCTGTACTCCTCGTTTGTCGACAAAAGAATCTTTGACCAATATTCCAGACATGGAAACAGATTTGGGATAAAGAGTGTAGAGCGAGGAAAGGCCAGAAGCCAACAAAATCAGCCAACAAAATCCAAATTACTACAATACAAATGGCAGACTGGGCAATAGATCACCGCAGTTAAATGATCTCACTTCAACCCTCATGTTCCTGACTTGTGTTAAATGTACTTCCCAAAAAGAGTCTTTATTTCATTGTATGTGTCCTCAGGTTTTACCTTTTTGGAAGGACATATTGACTGTGAAATCCTAAAATGTGCATCTTGAATATCTATCCTGAAGTCTTCGTTTTTCCAAACAGCCTGAGATCCTTGATGTCTCCTTATTGGAAGCTAAACGCTGCAGTGCTTTCTCATTATGTGGAATTTCACAATGGATTACACAAATGAATCAGCTGTTTTACTAAGAACATGCTTGATACATTTTAGGAAATCGGGTCAGACTTTTAACATTTGGCTGGGCCATAAAGATATCCAGCATCAGTTTCTCCATGTTTAGACCGAGCAGGAAGGAAAACTTGACCAACTCCTGTTAGCCACTGTGCTAACCTTCTTTATGCCTTCTACCGCCACCTCCTGGACTCAAAACTATCAAGTTTAGACAAGATAAATATCATGTTATAATGTGAAGGCGCTCAAAAAATGATTTTTCTCCATAATCGCTATACGCTTCTGGGGCCTCAGTGGCTCTTGGCTAGCATGTTCAGATGCTGGTAGCTAGCTTATATGGAAATATTAGTTTGATTACGCTAGATAACCTTTTTATTTATAGCTTAATTAGCTCTTATGAGTAAGTAGGCCACATATAGGGAAATTAAACTCATCTTAAGATTCATTTTGGTAAATAAAGGTCAGAAAAGCTCAAGTATGATATACATACTAAGCATAAATGTTTACTAGCATGTTTGGTCGCTGGTGGTTAGCCTGTCTGGTTTCTCTCCACAGATGGCGCTGACTATGTCAACCTTGGTAAGTTTCTGTTTGCAACTCAAGGAATGAAAAGTTCCTGGTTCTTTTTTCTCTTTCCTTTTAGTTTCTTCTCTTGTTTCAGAAGATGAAAATAAAAGACAGGAACAAGAACCAGAGCCAGATCAGGACTCGGACTCGGACTCGGAATCCGATCACAGTAAGTCTAAGTGTGCCGGTCCGGCGCTGATTGGTCGGTCTCACCTCCGCAGAACATTCTAGGTCCGGTTCTGATGATCCATCAGTCCTTCTTTGTTTTTTTTCCTCCAGACTACGAGAACGTGAAGTCAGGTGAGTCAAACACCTGGCCTCCCTACAGGACCATTCTGGACGAGATAGAAACCCCGAAACCTTTTCTAGACCAGGGGTCTCAGACTCCAGTCCTGGGGGCCATTGGGTTCCTGCAACGTTTAGATGAGCCTCTGCTGCACCTGAACAGAATAATGAAGCTGTCATCGACACCCGGAGGAGATAATTTAGCCGTGTCATTCCAGCTTTTTGTACCTGTGGCTCATCTAAAAACTGCAGGACACCTGGAGGCGAGGCCCCTGTCCTAGAACCTTTACTCAGAACTTGGTTCTGAAGTTTGCCTTTCTGCTTTTCTCGCAAAAGAATCTCCTGTAGCCTCAACGCCGGACGAAGACGAGAACTACGTCAACGTGTAGGTGGAAGAACTCACCTGCCAGGTAAACCTCCAGCTGTGGAGACGGAGCCAACCCAATCTACTTCCTGCTTTCAGATGATCCGGTTAGCCCAGCAGGAGGACCGGTTCTGACAGCTCTTCATCCTCATCTTCATCAGACCCAGGACCCTCCAGCCTCCGTTTACACTGCTGTTTCACCTCTTGGCTTGATTTCTGTAAAATTTGACTAGACCTCTTGACTGACTTGTGTGGCTAATTTAAGGCTAAATAATCTGACAGACAGGGAGCTAAAGATGAGGGTGATGGACTGAGGGCCTTCCAGCCTCTGGGACGGTTCGACTGATGTGAAGCTAATAAGTGTCTCTACTAATGAGAAGGGTAGAAATACTTTTTAATACATTTTATTCAAATAAAAGTAGAAAGGGATTTTTTTTGTTTTGCAAGTTTTCTATTTCCCAACCATCAAACAAACTTCTTGGTTTGAATCTGCCAAGAATATGAACAGCGAGCGCAAAAAATGCCTGACAAGGAGGTGAAAACATGAACGTCTCTAGTTTGTCAGAATATTGAAGCTCCTGAACCGAAACACAATTTTGATCCAAGATTTTCTGGATGATCCAGCGGCTTCAGAAACAAAGCGGCTCAATCAGCCAATCTACTGGAAAAAAAGATTTTTAGTGACATTTTCACCATGTCACTCATTCAGAGGCGTTTATGATTGATTGATGCTAAATGTTATTGCTGTTAACTGTTGATTATGAAACGTTTCAAATGCTACAAGAAGGGAAACGCCTGACTTACTTGGATAAGAAAATACGAAGGTCAGAGGTCAACCAGCCATTCTGGATGAAATGGAGACAGTTTGGGAACACATGTTGAATATCTGGGATTAAATTCAGATCCTAATCTGTTAGAAAGCAGACTCTTTCACTTGGATTGGGATGTCTCTGTGCATCTGATCAATAACCTGATTTTTATTGATCACCACTGATCAAAAGTTAATGTTCACCTCCTAAGAATTTCCTTGAACGTCACTTAAGTCCAGAAGAGGACTCTCTTAAACAGTTAACCCAAAATCCAGATTAATCCAGATTAGCGCCAGGGTGAGGAGAATTCCTGTTGTTAAATATTCAGTTTATTAATTCATTGCAACTTTCCAAATGACTGCGGTATTTTTGCTGCCGTTTCATTTCACTGACGACTCCTGAGAATGTTTTTATTTAAATGTTTCCTGTCATCTGATCTAGAAATGTTTTTATCTGAATTAAATTGAACATTTTAGAAAAACTTGAGACTCCGGCTTTCTTTGCTCGTCTGGGGACTGCAGCGCCCCCTGGGGACAAACTCCAGATCAGATCTAGACCAGTTCTCTGAAATGTTCTAGATCAGCAGATCACGATTAAATTATTTCATCTAGAATATTCCCTGGAATAGTTTCCTTCTACATGTCCAGAATGCAAACAACCCAGGACGTTCCCAAACCTTCATGGGGTTCTGGTTCTGACTTGGTTCTGCTCCAACAAGGCAATTTCCAAAAAAACCCTCAGATGCAGCTCTGCCCAGAACCAGAACCGTCGCTGCTTGGATCCAGGTTCTGGCTCTGTTCATGATCCAGATGTTAGGCAGCAGAAACCAACTCATCTGCTCCAAGAGTTAAAAAGCCAAAGACAAAATCCAGAAACCTGTTCTCCTCTGGGCGCTGGCGGCCATGTTTTTCTTCTCTGGGCGCTGGCGGCCATGTTTGGTCCTCTGGGCGCTGGCGGCCATGTTTTTCTTCTCTGGGCGCTGGCGGCCATGTTTTTCTCCTCTGGGCGCTGGCGGCCATGTTTTTCCTCTGGGCGCTGGCGGCCATGTTTTTCTTCTCTGGGCGCTGGCGGCCATGTTTGGTCCTCTGGGCGCTGGCGGCCATGTTTTTCTTCTCTGGGCGCTGGCGGCCATGTTTTTCTTCTCTGGGCGCTGGCGGCCATGTTTGGTCCTCTGGGCGCTGGCGGCCATGTTTGGTCCTCTGGGCGCTGGCGGCCATGTTTGGTCCTCTGGGCGCTGGCGGCCATGTTTGGTCCTCTGGGCGCTGGCGGCCTAATTTTACATGGAACTGATTAAGGGTTAGGAAGCAGAACAGTTAAAACCGGTGGCTTCCTGGTGTGTGCCAAGCCGAAGGTCAAGGGTCATTCTTCCTGTCATGAGGAGTAGCCCCAAACATTAGGAAGTGTGGTTCTGGAATCAGATCTTCTAATCTTCGAGGTTTTTGTCTCGATTCTTTTTGACAATTTTTCTGTTTCCCTCCTGAGCCGCGAAGAACTGATCTGGACTGGATGGACCAGAACCTTCGGTCCAAACCGGACAGAAAGAATAAAACACGCCACATCAGGTTGAATGTTTCACTATATTTATATTATATCATTAAAATTGATGTAGTACCTGAAACTAACCACACAGGACAGTCTGTCCTCAACAAACGGTCCCAGCAAAGAGAGAAAAGAGAGAGAAAGGCACGAAGAGTCTTCCAACTGAGACGAGGACAAAGACATGGAGGACAGCGGAAAGGCGTCGCAGGCGGATGAGCAGACAGACATAGAAAGGCACAACTAGAAATAAGTTATCTGAAATGTTCTAGAAGTGTTGATGAGGAGGACAGCAGGAAAACACCAGGGGGCGCCAGCAGCTCTGTTCATCGTTTGTCCCCAAAATGAAAAAAGGCACAAAGACATCAGAGCTGAGATGGAGACGGAGTCAGAAAATCAAACTAGAAAGCTTTAATACTATTCACCTGACCATCGTTATTATTACGGTCATCATTCTGTCTGCGCTTCTCTGACTGGGCTGAGGTAAATGGTTCCATCCCACTCCAGACCCAAAACCTTACACAGCGCCCTGGTTCCAGCCAATCACAGCTGGACTTTACAAGTGATGCAATTTCCTGTCAGGAATCGGTCTCATCTGGATAAAGTGACTTATTGCTCGGCTTGTTCCAAAACAAAACCAGGACAAGCGACGACATCTGGAGGGGATTGTTCTGGAGAGCTTCTGCACCAGACGCCCGACAGACGCCTTGCAGACGCCTTGCAGACGCCCGACAGACGCCTTGCAGACGCCCTGCAGACGCCCTGCAAACGCCTTGCAGACGCCCTGCAGACGCCTTGCAGACGCCCTGCAGACGCCCGACAGACGCCCGACAGACGCCCTGCAGACGCCCGACAGACGCCCTGCAGACGCCCCGCAGACGCCCTGCAGACGCCCCGCAGACGCCTTGCAGACGCCCGACAGACGCCCTGCAGACGCCCGACAGACGCCCTGCAGACGCCTTGCAGACGCCTTGCAGACGCCCCGCAGACGCCTTGCAGACGCCTTGCAGACGCCCGACAGACGCCCTGCAGACGCCCGACAGACGCCCTGCAGACGCCCCGCAGACGCCCGACAGACGCCCTGCAGACGCCCGACAGACGCCCTGCAGACGCCCCGCAGACGCCGTGCAGACACCCGACAGACGCCTTGCAGACGCCCCGCAGACGCCGTGCAGACACCCGACAGACGCCTTGCAGACGCCCCGCAGACGCCTTGCAGACGCCCCGCAGACACCCGACAGACGCCCAACAGACGCCCTGCAGACGCCCTGCAGACGCCCTGCAGACGCCCGACAGACGCCCCGCAGACGCCTTGCAGACGCCCGACAGATGCCCTGCAGACGCCCGACAGACGCCCGGCAGACGCCTTGCAGACGCGCCGCCGCCTCTAACTGGGATTGTAAAGAAACCGGAAAAGGAATCAGAATGAAACTGGGTCAAAAGCCTGTGACCCAGTTAGACCCTGAATGATGGTTCTGATGGAACCGAGTCAGGCTCGCCCTGAGGAGAACCAGAGCTCAGAGGGATCCGGTTCATGTGCGTATTCCAGAACCGCTGCTTTCACCACACTCGTCCCAGGGTGCCGTTACCATGGCGATGAGGCCGAACCCCTCCTATCTGGACCTTAAGACTCCAGTGGAAAGTTCCCCCGGTGACTGAAGCATCAGGCGAACATCTGATGGGCCCAGAGGCCTGGGAACCAGATGAAGCTGGTTCATTTGGACCCGTCAGAGGAGGCAGCAGAACCACCAACATGTCAGTGGGTCATTAGTGTTGGTTCTGTCAGTAGTGGTAATGTAGAAGGGGTCAGAGGTCACATAAGCCAGCCAGGCTATTGTGATCAGGACCGGTCCTGACCCACCCAGCTTCCACCTTAATCCAACCTAATCTGAACAGATTAACTCCAGATCCTGGATTAAAACATCCTGAACTTCCCCGTTTCCCTTCCTGTGACCTTCAGTCGGGTCCAGACGAGGGGTCAAAGGTCAAAAACCCACCATGAGTCCAGAATGGGGCTCAGAACCGGTAATCTGGGTCATGTTGGATCTCCAGCAGGTGAAGAACATCCTGGAGATCTGACCCTTGACCTTTGGGTCTCTGAGGAACTGGGTCATCTTTGGGACATTTCAGGGATCTGTTTGGGTTCAGAACCTTTTACTGGGTTGAATGGTTCTGTAATCTGAAGCAGGCTCCGGAGAACTGCCCGTCTGGACCTCTAACAGATTGCAGGCGCCGGACAGAACTGGGCCGGTTCCGGGGGCGGTGTAAGGTTCAGGTTCTGTAGCGTATGTTTGGCTGTCTGGGCAGAACTGTGTGAGGTTCTGGTCCTGCTGGCTCCACAGGCTCGAGTTTCAGTCGTAGTGTCCAGAAGGTTCTGCGAGGCGGAGTGGCCAATCGGGCCGGCGGCACCGCTCGTTAGTGTGTCACCTGTCGGCCTCGATTAGTGTTAGAACCCCCCAAGATGGCCGCCGCCTCAGAAGAAGGAGTACTGGTTGTCGACGGCGCGCGGCGCCCTCGCCCCGTCCCGCTCCTCGCCCTCGGCGGCGTCCAGCGGCCGGAGGGGCGTGTCCTCCCAGTCCTCCGCCGGCCCGCCGCTTCCCACCGCCGGCTCCGCCTCAGATCCTCTCTCCTGCGGGGGGGTCGGTGGCGCCGGGCGTCCCGGCGGCAGCGGCGGGGCCTGGGGGGGGCTACGGGGTCTGCTGGTCGAGTCTGCAGGGATCCAGGAGGAGAAGAAGAAGTGACGAGTTAGAGAGAGAGAGGAGGAGCAGACGGAGGGAGACAGAATGGCGGTGAGTGGGAGGAGTCAGGTGGTTCTGGACTCTCAGGGACGGGTTCCCATGGTCCAACAGAACCTCTGGTTCTGATCGGCCAGATACAGATAATCACAAGGTTCTACAGGCTGCAGCTCAGAACGACCTAACTGGTTCCAGAACCATTACAGCTCTCCTTTCAACAGATGGGTCAGAACCAGAACCTGGCAGGTCCAGTTCTACTGTTTTCTACAGCTCATCATCTGTTCTTCTTCTTCTTTCCTGAAATTATTTGTAGTTTTTATGTTGTTTCCCTTCTGATAGACGCTGTAATGTGCAGCAGAGGCCAGCAGGGGGCAGTAAGACATAGAAACTGCATGGTATAGAATGGTGCTGTGGAAACCGAGCCAGTACAGCTGGTTCTGGTTCTGCAGCAGGCCTGTTAAAAACGATATGTCCCTTCCTGAATGCCACATCATTTGAATGAAAAGCATCGCTGCGTCCAATAAGAACTTCTTAAAATCAATCAATCCTGAATCGTTTGCCATTGATCAGTCGCTCCACAATTTCTATCCAGGATCCAGGATTGCTTGTGATTTTTTCACAATCAAAATTATATAATATCTACAATATTTCTGCTTATGACATTGAAGGTGACTTTTTGTTACTCGCCACATCGATCGAGGCTGAGGGTGAAAGTCAGAAACAGACATTTTGAAATCATTTGCAATAAATTCACATTCATTCATTAAAACGTCGATTTCCTGTGAATTTTGGAGATCGCTGAATTGCCAAAAACTGGAATTGACTGACGTAATTTGGCGTCTGGAGGGCCACATGGAGAATTAGGGAGAGCTTTAATTGGCCCCTGAGCCTCGAGTTTGACATGCGCAAAGGATCTGAACGGTTCTGGTTCTGGTCGGACCCGGAAGCCGCCTGAGAGCCCGGACTGAATGGAGACGCGTCCTCGCTGCCACACACTCGTCCTCCGGGCCGGGTCGGTCTCACTTACACACAGTCAGAGATGGGGGTTGATGGAGAGTCGGGATGGCGCGTGGTGATGGCGTCGCAGGCCGCGGGCCGACTGCCCGCCCGGTCCCGGCCTGCAGGGGGCGAGCCAACCATACAAGACAACAACAGAGAGGTCAGATGGTCCCAAGGGTGGGCGACGTCTCCTCTGCTTCAGGGATCGGTGCAGCATGAGGATGAGGATGGTGACCCATGCGGGACAGGATGAAGGCTTCACACCTGTCCAGGGACCGGTCCGGGTTCTGCCGACCCGGTTCTGATCGTACCTGGCTGTCGGACCGCCGTGGCTCCCACGAAGCTGATGAGCGTGACATCAGAGGCGCCGCCCGACTCCAGGGGAATGGGATGGACCCGGAAGTGCTCCAACATGTCAAAGATGGACTGGAACCAGAGGTGCTGGACCCGGCACTGGCCGTCCTCGTTCAGGGACAGACGGAGGTGCTGCGGGACCCGAGACACGGAGACATGTAGCGCGGCAGAGACACGAGGACAGTCCGCCCTCCGCCTCCTGGACTCACCTTGGCCTTGCCCTGAAAGTTGAAGGTGAGGACGTACTCTCCCCGCCGCGTCTCGCTCTGTCGGACCAGGAAGACGCCGTGGCTCGCCGGGCCTCCGGCCAGAACCAGCTGGGCCGCCTTGAGACGCGACAGGGTGCCGTGGAACCACTGGCACTCGCTGAGCGGGTGCTCCACGGCCTCGGAGGTCACCGCGTCAGAGAACAGGAACGACCCTGCGGGGGAAGCGCATCGGGCCCGGTCACTCAGGGTCCCGGCCGTTTCCAGAACCAACCCGCCCGGGTCATCATTACCTGTCGCTTCTGGCGTCTCAGCAAAAGGTGTGCCCAGACCAGCGCCGACCCCCCCGAAATTTCTGCCATCCGGCTCGTCCAGTGGCGCTCGAGGTGGAAGTTCTGGAGGAAGTGGATCCATGAGAGGGGAGGAGCCTCCGATCCCTCCGTAGCAGACTGACGGGTCGGAACCCGGCCGGTGAGAAGGAGCAGAACACTGTTAGACGTTCATGAACTACCATAAAGATCCCGTGTTTCCTCCAGACCAGTACAGAAGTTCTGATCCAGCCTTGGTTTCCACCGACCCGGCTCCAACGCGGTCCGGATCAGCGGCCTCAAGGTTTGGACTTTGGCTATCCGGTTCTCTGGATCAGAACTAGTCCTGGCCCAGCACCGGGACAGGAAACCCAACACTCACCTTGTGAAAGACGCTCGCCGATCTCTGGCGTTCCACTGACGTCCAGCGAAGCCGGACACGCCCCTTCAGCGTCCTCCTGCTCGCTGCAGCAGGAAGCACAGTCAGTCACTGCAGCGCCTGCTGACATCCGGACTCGCTGCAGTCACAGGTTCTACAGCAGTCTGGACTGTGGACCCTGACGTTAGCGTTAGCTGCTACATGTTAGCAGTCAGATGCTACTTTAGGCTAGCATAGACAGTAGTCTTTCTCAGCGTCCAATCAGATCGCTTAGAAGTAGAAATTGTAACTCCTGAGGTTCTGCTCCGATCGGATCAGTACCTGAGACAAATGGCGTTCCTGATGTCACTCAGCCAAGCTCTCATCTGCACAGCGTCTCGGGTTTCGATCACGTACTGGGCCGACCCGTCCAGCTGCAGAGGAGCAGAAACAGGGCAGCTCGGATCAGAACCAGGCCGGCCCGTTTGGGTGAAATTACTTATAGAGAAACATCTGGACCTGCAGCAGGAAGGTGTTCTCCTTGTCCGGGACTTCCAGCGCCGTGGTGCTCCTCACGTCCAGGATGGAGAAGCAGGGAACGGTCAGCCGCGGCTTGGAGGCCTGCAACACACAGAGGTTCTGGTTCTGACCCGATACCATCTACTGCAAGGATTCCCCAGTGTATTAAAAGCCTGGCGGCCCGCTTCATTAGACCCCCTGCCAGGATAAGCGTTGCTTGATTTTATTTTTTAAAAAAGTTATAATTTTGGGGGAAGAAAGAAAAAAAAAACTTTTATTTTTATTTTTTTAACTAAAAGCCGGATTGCAAAAGTGTCTCCGTTGCTTTGAGAGTTTAACTTGCAGAGCGGATTTCTAATGTTTATAGTTTATTATTTAAATCTGGCAGAGCGACCAATCACAGCAGCTGGAGCCTAAACCTCAGCCCGTTGCCTCAACATGTTGCCTCAGCATGTTGCCTCAGCATGTTGCCTCAGCATGTTGCCTCAACATGTTGCCTCAGCATGTTGCCTCAGCATGTTGCCTCAGCATGTTGCCTCAGCCCGTTGCCTCAACATGTTGCCTCAGCATGTTGCCTCAGCATGTTGCTTCATCATGTTGCTTCATCATGTTGCCTCAACATGTTGCCTCAACATGTTGCCTCAGCCTGTTGCCTCAGCATGTTGCCTCAGCATGTTGCCTCAGCATGTTGCTTCAGCATGTTGCCTCAGCATGTTGCTTCAGCATGTTGCCTCAGCATGTTGCCTCAGCATGTTGCCTCAGCATGTTGCCTCAGCCCGTTGCCTCAACATGTTGCCTCAGCCCGTTGCCTCAACATGTTGCCTCAGCCCGTTGCCTCAGCATGTTGCCTCAGCATGTTGCCTCAGCCCGTTGCCTCAGCATGTTGCCTCAGCCCGTTGCCTCAGCATGTTGCCTCAGGATGTTGCCTCAGCATGTTGCCTCAGCCCGTTGCCTCAGCATGTTGCCTCAGCCCGTTGCCTCAACATGTTGCCTCAGCCCGTTGCCTCAACATGTTGCCTCAGCCCGTTGCCTCAACATGTTGCCTCAGCGCGTTGCCTCAGCATGTTGCCTCAACATGTTGCCTCAGCCTGTTGCCTCAACATGTTGCCTCAGCGCGTTGCCTCAGCATGTTGCCTCAGCCTGTTGCCTCAACATGTTGCCTCAGCGCGTTGCCTCAGCATGTTGCCTCAGCATGTTGCCTCAGCATGTTGCCTCAGCATGTTGCCTCAGCATGTTGCCTCAGCATGTTGCCTCAACATGTTGCCTCAGCGCGTTGCCTCAACATGTTGCCTCAGCATGTTGCTTCAGCATGTTGCCTCAGCATGTTGCCTCAACATGTTGCCTCAACATGTTGCTTCAGCCCGTTGCATCAGCATGTTGCCTCAGCCCGTTGCCTCAACATGTTGCCTCAGCCCGTTGCCTCAACATGTTGCCTCAGCCCGTTGCCTCAACATGTTGCCTCAGCCCGTTGCCTCAACATGTTGCCTCAGCCCGTTGCCTCAACATGTTGCCTCAGCCCGTTGCCTTAACATGTTGCCTCAACATGTTGCCTCAACATGTTGCCTCAGCCCGTTGCCTCAACATGTTGCCTCAACATGTTGCCTCAGCACGTTGCCTCAACACGTTGCCTCAACATGTTGCCTCAACACGTTGCCTCAACATGTTGCCTCAACACGTTGCCTCAACATGTTGCCTCAACATGTTGCCTCAACACGTTGCCTCAGCGCGTTGCCTCAACATGTTGCCTCAACATGTTGCATCAGCCCGTTGCCTCAACATGTTGCCTCAACATGTTGCCTCAGCCCGTTGCCTCAACATGTTGCCTCAACATGTTGCCTCAGCCCGTTGCCTCAACATGTTGCCTCAACATGTTGCCTCAGCATGTTGCCTCAACATGTTGCCTCAGCGCGTTGCCTCAGCCCGTTGCCTTAGCATGTTGCCTCAGCATGTTGCCTCAACATGTTGCCTCAGCCCGTTGCCTCAGCCAGTTGCCTCAACATGTTGCCTCAGCGCGTTGCCTCAGCCCGTTGCCTCAACATGTTGCCTCAGCGCGTTGCCTCAACATGTTGCCTCAGCGCGTTGCCTCAGTGCGTTGCCTCAGCATGTTGCCTCAGCCCGTTGCCTCGGCTCGTTGCCTCAACATGTTGCCTCAGCCCGTTGCCTCAGCATGTTGCCTCAACATGTTGCCTCAGCCCGTTGCATCAGCCCGTTGCCTCAACATGTTGCTTCAGCCCGTTGCCTCAACATGTTGCTTCAGCCCGTTGCCTCAACATGTTGCTTCAGCCCGTTGCCTCAACATGTTGCTTCAGCCCGTTGCCTCAACATGTTGCCTCAGCCCGTTGCCTCAACATGTTGCCTCAGCCCGTTGCCTCAGCCCGTTGCCTCAACATGTTGCCTCAGCGCGTTGCCTCAGCCTGTTGCTTCAGCATGTTGCCTCAACATGTTGCCTCAGCGCGTTGCCTCAGCGCGTTGCCTCAACATGTTGCTTCAGCCCGTTGCCTCAACATGTTGCCTCAGCGCGTTGCCTCAGCCTGTTGCTTCAGCCCGTTGCCTCAACATGTTGCCTCAGCATGTTGCCTCAACATGTTGCTTCAGCCCGTTGCCTCAACATGTTGCTTCAGCCCGTTGCCTCAACATGTTGCCTCAGCCCGTTGCCTCAGCGCGTTGCCTCAGCCCGTTGCCTCAACATGTTGCCTCAGCCCGTTGCCTCAGCCCGTTGCCTCAACATGTTGCCTCAGCGCGTTGCCTCAGCCCGTTGCCTCAACATGTTGCTTCAGCCCGTTGCCTCAACATGTTGCCTCAGCCTGTTGCTTCAGCCCGTTGCCTCAGCATGTTGCCTCAGCGCGTTGCCTCAGAATGTTGCCTCAGCCCGTTGCCTCAGCATGTTGCCTCAACATGTTGCCTCAGCATGTTGCCTCAGCATGTTGCCTCAGCATGTTGCCTCAACATGTTGCCTCAGCATGTTGCCTCAGCGCGTTGCCTCAGCATGTTGCCTCAACATGTTGCCTCAGCGCGTTGCCTCAACATATTGCCTCAGCATGTTGCCTCAGCGCGTTGCCTCAACATGTTGCCTCAGCCCGTTGCCTCAACATGTTGCCTCAGCGCGTTGCCTCAGCATGTTGCCTCAACATGTTGCCTCAGCCCGTTGCCTCAACATGTTGCCTCAGCATGTTGCCTCAACATGTTGCCTCAGCGCGTTGCCTCAACACGTTGCCTCTGCCCGTTGCCTCAACATGTTGCCTCAGCCCGTTGCCTCAACATGTTGCCTCAGCATGTTGCCTCAACATGTTGCCTCAGCATGTTGCCTCAACATGTTGCCTCAGCATGTTGCCTCAACATGTTGCCTCAGCGCGTTGCCTCAGCCCGTTGCCTTAGCATGTTGCCTCAACATGTTGCCTCAGCATGTTGCCTCAGCATGTTGCCTCAACATGTTGCCTCAGCATGTTGCCTCAACATGTTGCCTCAGCGCGTTGCCTCAACACGTTGCCTCAGCCCGTTGCCTCAACATGTTGCCTCAGCCCGTTGCCTCAACATGTTGCCTCAGCATGTTGCCTCAACATGTTGCCTCAGCATGTTGCCTCAGCATGTTGCCTCAACATGTTGCCTCAGCATGTTGCCTCAACATGTTGCCTCAGCATGTTGCCTCAGCATGTTGCCTCAGCATGTTGCCTCAACATGTTGCCTCAGCGCATTGCCTCAGCCCGTTGCCTTAGCATGTTGCCTCAGCATGTTGCCTCAGCATGTTGCCTCAACATGTTGCCTCAGCGCGTTGCCTCAGCCCGTTGCCTTAGCATGTTGCCTCAACATGTTGCCTCAGCCCGTTGCCTCAACATGTTGCCTCAGCCCGTTGCCTCAACATGTTGCCTCAACATGTTGCCTCAGCGCGTTGCCTCAGCCCGTTGCCTCAACATGTTGCCTCAGCGCGTTGCCTCTTCCCGTTGCCTCAACCTGTTGCCTCAGCCTGTTGCCTCAGCATGTTGCCTCAACATGTTGCCTCAGCGCGTTGCCTCAGCCTGTTGCCTCAGCATGTTGCCTCAGCCCGTTGCCTCGGCTCGTTGCCTCAACATGTTGCCTCAGCCCGTTGCCTCAGCATGTTGCCTCAGCCCGTTGCCTCGGCTCGTTGCCTCAACATGTTGCCTCAGCCCGTTGCCTCAACATGTTGCCTCAGCCCGTTGCCTCAACATGTTGCCTCAGCGCGTTGCCTCAACATGTTGCCTCAGCCCGTTGCCTCAACATGTTGCCTCAGCGCGTTGCCTCAGCATGTTGCCTCAACATGTTGCCTCAGCATGTTGCCTCAGCGCGTTGCCTCAGCGCGTTGCCTCAGCATGTTGCTTCAGCATGTTGCTTCAGCATGTTGCCTCAGCATGTTGCCTCAGCATGTTGCCTCAGCGCGTTGCCTCAGCATGTTGCCTCAACATGTTGCCTCAGCGCGTTGCCTCAACATATTGCCTCAGCATGTTGCCTCAGCGCGTTGCCTCAACATGTTGCCTCAGCCCGTTGCCTCAACATGTTGCCTCAGCGCGTTGCCTCAGCATGTTGCCTCAACATGTTGCCTCAGCCCGTTGCCTCAACATGTTGCCTCAGCATGTTGCCTCAACATGTTGCCTCAGCGCGTTGCCTCAACACGTTGCCTCAGCCCGTTGCCTCAACATGTTGCCTCAGCCCGTTGCCTCAACATGTTGCCTCAGCATGTTGCCTCAACATGTTGCCTCAGCATGTTGCCTCAACATGTTGCCTCAGCATGTTGCCTCAACATGTTGCCTCAGCATGTTGCCTCAACATGTTGCCTCAGCGCGTTGCCTCAGCCCGTTGCCTTAGCATGTTGCCTCAACATGTTGCCTCAGCATGTTGCCTCAGCATGTTGCCTCAACATGTTGCCTCAGCATGTTGCCTCAACATGTTGCCTCAGCGCGTTGCCTCAACACGTTGACTCAGCACGTTGCCTCAACATGTTGCCTCAGCCCGTTGCCTCAACACGTTGCCTCAGCTTGTTGCCTCAAAATGTTGCCTCAACATGTTGCCTCAACACGTTGCCTCAGCGCGTTGCCTCAAAATGTTGCCTCAACATGTTGCCTCAACACGTTGCCTCAGCATGTTGCCTC